TGATCTGCCCCTCCAATCTACGTCTTCCTCTTTCTGGATCCGTAACGCACAGCACCGTCACACACGGCACCGTCACACACTGCACCCTCACACACAGCACCGTCACACCCAGCATTATCACACACAGCACCGTCACACACAGCACCGTCACACACAGCACTCTCACACACAGCACCGTCACACACAGCACAGTCACACAGCATTATCACACACAGCACCGTCACACACAGCACTCTCATACACAGCACCGTCACACAGTACCGTCACACACAGCACCGTCACACACAGCATTATCACACACAGCACCGTCATACACTGCATCACCGTACAACATCGTCACACAGCAGCACCACTCACAGCACCATCACCAGTGCGACCTTCCTTCCACAACCTCGTTCGTCACCATGTCACCTCTGCGCCTGTGCCCAATCCACACCGGCCGCCCCGTCTGGACCGAGACGCACCTCCTCCCGAGCTGCGCCCGTGCCCCTTCCATCTCAGGGGTTATTCCCAACCTCCCCGCGTAACCCTCGTTAGCTCACGGTCCCGAGTTTCTGCCGCGTACAACGACGCTCCCCACTCCAATCCCGGCTCTCCGTGGGATCAGGACTCGCCCATGCTTGCCACGAATGAACCACAATGCCTCGGGTGCTCATCTCGTCAAGGAGCACGAACCACCACCGCTGAAATCCCGCCCAACCTCGCAGCTTTTTGGCTAAGCCGTCGAACAAAGACGGCGGTCACCGAATCGTCGTGCGGCGCTTTTCGGACGCGCTATCCGCGGCCGTCTGGAACGCTCTTCCCTTCCGATATCAGGAAGCCGCTGGGAGCTGTGCACTTTTAAATCATCATCATCATCTAGATTGACGAACTCGTTTTTTTAGAACTGCTGTTTGTGTTTAGTTTGTCGTCCTTTCCCGCACCTCCGATGGGCTCGGTTGGCTACGTACGGTGCCAAATAAGTTCAGCATACAAACGTACAAAAAGAGCTTCATAGCTCATTGGATTGCTCCAGGATAAATAAAGATTCCGATTCCTCATAACTCCATCGCCGACGGGCCAGGCTCACTGCAACTACAAAGATCCCCCATGTAGCCTACGCACGCCGTTTGGGGCAAGTGCCGCTGGCGAGGACATACGAAGGCCGGAACGGCGCACGAGGGGAGTGGTGTGGTCGGAGAAACGCACTCCCTCCCGGCCACCGTTGTCTCCCCTGGCGCTGATGCTTCCGCACGCACCGCACCGGGTACTCAATTGAAGGCCGAGTTGACCTCAAGGGACCGGTTCCGATGTCCGCCGGCGATGTCGGCCGCGAGCGGGAATCGAACGCGGGGCGGCCAGGTAAAAGTGACGCGGCGCGCTAACCGCCACGTCACCATTCCCCCACGGTTGCTATTAGACACACGCACGCACACGTAGACGCACACGCACACGTAGACGCACACGCACAGTGGTACACATTGGGCAGCAACCACTGACAAATCACGTCATGTACATTTGGCACTTCGCATATAACACTACACAAAGACAAAGGTCCCCCACCCCCGCCTTAACAGACCGTTGGGGCAAGTGCTGTTAAGCGAGCAGCACCTGTGTAGGCCGGCACGCCACACGCGGGGGTGGGTTGGCCAGCACCACGCCCGGCCGCCTTTGTCTCCCCAGTGGCAATGTTTTTACACATCGCCCCAGGTACTCATTTGAGGCCGAATCGGCCTAGGGGGGAGGCACGGGACCGGTTCAGACATTCGCCACCGTTATTGGTCGCGAGCGGGACTCGAACTCGGGTCGCCGGGGACCGCAGCGCCACCGCTCCCCGCACCGCACGATGAGGGGGAGACACGCACGGGGTGACGCACGCATGCACGCACGCACGCACACACGCACGCGGGCGCATTTAAAATTAAATCACAACTTTACCTGAATGGAGTTTGTTCTGGGCACAATTAAAAGTTCGTCATGGACGCGGAGAGATTGCAATCGTCCGCCCGACATCGCGGGGCAACGGTGGCGCGTGCCCCACCGCTCCACCGTGCCAGCGCCGCATCCCTCCCACAGCGCCACGCACGGCTCACAATGAGGGTTGCCACCCATCCTGGGTTTTCTCTGGACTCCCACCACCCCTCTCTCCTGCGTCGACTGCGCGCCAGTTGTGGGATCTGCCGGGAGGGGGGATAGCAGCGGCGGTGGCGGCGATGGCATCGGTGGCTTCGGCCAAGACGGCAACACCGCCATCGTCGTCGTCACCTCCGTCACACCTCGCCGGGCGAAGGAGCCTGCTGCCCGCCCCGGGGGGAACCCTCCAAGTGTTCGCGGTTGACTTGACAAGCTGGCCATCGAACAAAGACTGGCCGTCTGGAATGATCTTCTCCTCCGATATTAGGAAGCTACTGGACCTGTGCACTTTGAAATCACCTGGACTGAAAGCTCATTTTTTTCGAGCTGCTCTCTGCGTTTAGTTTCGTCGCCCTTCCTCCCGCACCTCAGATTAGCGCGGTTAGGCTACGTACGGTGCGAAAGGAGTTCAACATATTGCAAACATGATGCCTTGAATAAAGGTGTCAGTTTTTGTGCCAGTTAAAAGGGTAAAACCTATTACTATAACGAGTTCAACATAGGTACGGACACACACAGCCAACACGCCCACGGTAAGTCATCGGACTTTGGGGTGAGGCCACGTACGGCCTGGCCGCGGCCGCGGTGCGTCGTGCAGAACCATCCACCACCCGACGACGACGACGATGACGACGAGGCCGAAGCGAATTAAGCTGTCGCGCGGAGCGCCAGCGCTGCGCCGTCACCACCGCCGCGCCGGCTGCGATCATTTCAGAGAGCAACACGCGCAACGACTATCGGCGTACAAATCTGGCAGCGGTTGGGGCCAGAACGTCCCGGAAGCCACTCTGTTAAAAAAAAAATATATACCTTTTTTTTCATTTGATCAGGTAAGGCCCCACTGAGCTATGTGGCTCTTTGTTTTTCAGAAGCGACCCGGTCATCGCAGATGATAGCTCAACGAAGGGGCTTATCGTCGTCGTGTGGAAATTTACAGCGGCAGCCAAAAACTCGCGGGCGCGCGCGCTTCACTCGCAATCGCGGACTTTGTGAGTTGGGTAGCAAGAATGATGATTGCACCGGCGGCCCAATCGAGACGACGCATTCACGTCGCGGAGAGCGAGAGAGAGGTCGAGGGACACTGGGCAGCTCCCCAGCATCGTTTCAAGCGAGCTGATGAGGACACCGTGTGCCGAAGCCGGTCCGAAGCTTTGCTTGCCGTGAAACGATGCTGCTGCTGCTGCTGCTCAAATACCCAGAAGGCAGTGGCGTGTGGCAGAGGGGGTCGGGTACAAAATACTGTTTATGTTTCCGTGTGGAGAAAGGGATACGTTGTGAAGCACTCCTCCTCCACTTCCTCCTTTGTCTTCCTCCCGTGATGGCTCCTGCCCTGGGGTGTTTTGCAGCTCCGAGGTGGCAACCTCCCCCCCGCTAGAACCTTCCCGTGAACCCTTCTCCCGTTGGTGAGGGTGGTGTCCCGTTCACCGCACGAGCGGCTCGGCGTGAATTTGACTTAGAGAGGCGTAGCAGCAGCGCCGTTGTTTTTAAAGGCACTGAACTCACCGCAGAGAACCGTCGCGGCACGGCCGCACTCTACGACAGCTGGCACCTGTGTCACACGCCATCCCGCGTGGCCTTGTGGGAGCCTCGGTACCGACAACGTTATTTTATTTATTCTTCCGATTCCATTCCGATGACGTGCACGGACGTCATCGGAACGGTAAAAAGTTCGTAGCAACTCGCGGGGCGCCAAACCTCCGCGGAGAGCGGAATCGTCAGCGCAACCGCGTGCTCCGCCTCTCCGGCGAACGCCGCGGTCGTTCACCGGTCGGCGCCGGGCAACGTCGCCGACGCGTCGCCGGCTCGGCACGCTGTACACAAAGTGCAAAGTGCAACAACAAACCCCAACGCGGAGCCCGGCGACCGCGGCCGGACACCCCGCTCCGCCGAACAACATCCTGTCGCCGCCGCTTTGCCCACATGCGAGCGAGCGGTTGAGCGGCGAGGACGCGTCTGGCCCCGCGCCCCCTTCGCAGCGGATCCCTGGCTCTGGCCTCGCCAACGCCCGCCCACCCCCGACCCACCTCCGCCCGGGACGGCTACGACCGATCGTCGTGGTTGCGCGAACGCGTCGTCGCCCCGCGCCCGCCGGGCCTGAGGGGTCCGGAGCCTGCGCCTCCGCTACGAGCGAGCGAGCAACCGGTCGCTCGCGCGAGGACGCGCCTCGATTTGGTTAAACTCTGTGGGGCAGCCAAGCAAGAGGGCAGCCGGCCCAGAGGGCAGCCGGCCCAGAGGGCAGCCGCTCTTGTCTCAGGTGGAAGTGTCCATTGACAAGTGCCTCGCCCACTCCATCACTCCCACACGACAATATTTGGTCGAATAAAAAAACCCAGACAAAAAAACGATAATCTGTCGGATCGACGGAACGCGAGGGCGACACGTGGCGGACCGCGAGCCACACCGCCGCGTGCGGTCGCCGCGGTTGGGCTGCTGCTGCTGCTGCGACGTCCGACGTTTCGCCCCTCGCGCCAGGAAGCGTCGGTGCTTCCTCGAGTTTCCCGAAGAAGCTCTCTCCCAGTGCGGCTCGGCGGGAGAGCTCGCTGCCGAACAGCTCCGCCACAGTGCCACCGACAGCGCCAATAAATAATCAGCTGTGTCCCCAGCTGCTGCCACCGATGCCGCTGGTGATCACCAAAAACACCGCGCTCACGTAGACGCACGTCGACTCTACGCATTTCAAGCCGTCGGGCACAAGAAGAGTGCCCCTCTGGCTTTGGCAAGCGAGCGTCGTTCCTACGTACGGCTTGTACAGCGTCGGCGCCGGCTTCCCGGCACAGCTAACGCCGTGTGACGGTGATCCGCGGCCAGGCCGGCGGACTGCCCCTGCCCCCGCCGGCCCCGGGCAGCGCCGCTCGCCTCCGGAACGATCGAGCGGCAACGTGGCCCGCCTACCACGCGCTCCTCTTGATGCTCTGCGTCGCGATGGCGGCGGCGCTGGGCTGCGCCAGACCGCCGCCCCCCCCCGCGGCCTCCTCCGCGCCGGTCCAGCCGCGCGGCCCCCCGAACGGCACCAGCGGCAGCACGGCACCACCGGTAACGCCGGCGCCGCCCGCGAACGCCCCGGGAAGCTGCGAGTGTCGCTGCCCGAGCGCCGGAACCTCCTTGCTGAAGAGCGGCCGTGGCGGCGCGCGGTACCCAGAGACGGCCCTAACGGTCGGGGCGGCCTCGGCGCCGTCTTGATCCGCCGCTGACCGCGGTGCTCGCGGCAACTCCGGACGCCTGCTCCTCCGCCGCGCGCCGTCGGCGGCGCCGGGCGGGGGTTTGGCGGCGGGCGCCGTTTCCCGCGCGGCTTCCTCGCGGGTCTCCCCGCTCGTCGCCTGACCCTCGGCCGCCCCCCTCGGCTCCGGCGGCGCCGCCGGCGGCGGCGGCGGCTCGGGGCCTGCGCCGAGCCGGAGCCGCACGTCCTCGAGCGCCAGCTCCAGGCGGAGCACGTCGTCGGTGAGCTCGCACACGCGCTCGAACAGCGCCAGCACGCGCTCGGCCGCGGGCCCCGCCGCCGCGTAGCACCGCTCCAGCTCCTCCCGTGGCGGCGGCGCCGGCGACGCCGGCCCCGCCGGCTGCTCCGCGCCGGCCCGCGACGTCGACGATGCCGACGTCCCGAGCAGCGACGAGGCGGACGACGCCGACGACGCCGACGACGACACGGAGGAGGAGGTGGGCGGGCGGGGAGGCGGAGACAGCGCGTCGCGGGAGGATCGCGACGGCAGGGACTCCATGCCCTCGAACTTCACCTTGTGGCGGAACTGTGTGGGCACAAGGGGCAAGGGGGCACCGGGGGATCAGAGGACGAGGGAATAAGGGGACGAGTCCGGTGGCCACGCGCCGTGCCGTGCCCGCGGTTCTGGTTTCCAGGGCAGCCGATGGGCTCCACCGTCCCTGGGGATTCAGCCGAGTCCCACAGGAGGGGCTCGGAGAGTCGGAGCGCCGAGCCGAGCTGGGCCCAAGCCTCGAACCCAAAACCTCCGCGCTGGCGCCCGGCCCACATCGCCGCCCGATCTGCCAGGCTGCCTCGTGCTGACCGGGCACTGCGGTGGCTAGGAGATGTTAACTGCCTCGCCTGGTATACAGGAGGTCATCGGTTCGATCCTGACCCTGACGCCTGCTGTACATTTGGGGTTTGTGCGTCTCTCTCTCTCCCCGTGGCTGCGTGGAATTTTCTCCGGGTCCTCGGGTTTTTCCCTCCACATTTAGAGAATCAACATCACAACGCGTTTAGAGTATTAGGCTGCTATGAATTTCGACATGACGATAATAATCCACTTCTCTAAGCTATTGTTGTGAAGGCCAGGTCACTGATAAAAAAAAAAAATCTATATAGCTCAGTGGGGCCTTACCGAATATAAATAAAAAACAGTTTAATAGGTTTTTTTTTTAGACCGCCACGCCGACCGGACCGGATCTAGCGGGGAGCTCGGCTAGGGTGCCCGTTACCTCCTTGGCCTTGCTCAGGCCCAGCACGAGGCGGACGCGCTTGAGCAGGAACTCGGCCATCTCGTAATCCTGCGGCGCCACCGCGGGCCGCCGAGCCTCGGCGCGCTCCCGCCGGTGCGCCGCCACCAGCGCCGCGGCAAACCCGCGCGCCAGCGCCGCGCCCGCGCCCAGCGCCAGCAGCAGCAGGAAGGCGGCCGCCGCCCACGGCCACGCGGCCTCCGGCTGGGAGGACCACGGCTGGGCGGGCGGCGGCGGCGAAAACGCCGAACACCACGACCACCGGGACGGCGGCGGCGGCGGCGTCGAGGGCGGCGGCGACGGCGGTGCCGGTGCCGCCAGCAGCAGCCGGCGCCCCGAGCGAAGCGCCGACACGAGCGAGCCCAGCGCGAGGCCGAAGCGACGGAAGCAGCTGACGCGCTGCGAGAAAATCTGGCGGCGCAGAGGAAAGAGCGGGTGAGCTTCCTCGTGTCTTTGTCTGTGTGTGAGTGTGTCTTTGTGTGTCTTTGTCTGTGTGTGAGTGTGTCTTTGTGTGTCTTTGTCTGTGTGTGAGTGTGTCTTTGTGTGTCTTTGTCTGTGTGTGAGTGTGTCTTTGTGTGTCTTTGTCTGTGTGTGAGTGTGTCTTTGTGTGTCTTTGTCTGTGTGTGAGTGTGTCTTTGTGTGTCTTTGTCTGTGTGTGAGTGTGTCTTTGTGTGTCTTTCTCTGTGTGTGAGTGTGTCTTTGTGTGTCTTTGTCTGTGTGTGAGTGTGTCTTTGTGTGTCTTTGTCTGTGTGTGAGTGTGTCTTTGTGTGTCTTTGTCTGTGTGTGAGTGTGTCTTTGTGTGTCTTTGTCTGTGTGTGAGTGTGTCTTTGTCTGTGTGTGTCTTAGTCTTTGAGTGTCTTTTTCTGCATGTGTATCTTGTCTTTGTGTGTCTTTGTCTGTGTGTGTCTTTGTCTGTGTGTGTCTTTGTCTGTGTGTGAGTGTCTGTGTGTGTTTGTCTGTGTGTTTGTCTTTGTGTGAGTGTCTGTGTGTGTCTTTGTGTGTGAGTGTCTGTGTGTGTTTGTCTTTGTGTGAGTGTCTGTGTGTGAGTGCCTGTGTGTCTTTGTCTGTGTGTGAGTGTCTGTGTGTGAGTGTCTGCGTGTGAGTGTCTGTGTGTGTTTGCCTTTGTGTGTTTTTGACTCCGTGTGTGTGTGTGTCTTCGTTTTTTTATGTGTAGGGAATGCTATCAGGAGCGGTAGTGTAGGAGCGGTTAGCACGCTGCACAACGAACTGGGAGATGCGAGTTCGATTCCTGCTCACGGCCAACTCCGGTGATGATTATTCTGAACCGGTGCTGAGCCTCCCCCAGGTCAGTATGTGCGTTCACTTGTGTATTGACCGATACGTTTATTGACAGTAGGTGAGTTATTCAGTGTTGATTCGCAGCTGAATAGAGAGGGGTGTGTTAAGTAGGAGTGGGTGTTGTCGCGTGTGGCTGTGTGTGTGGAGGGCAGAGGAGCGACACTCACAACGAAGAGCGGAGCGCCGGGCAGCTAAAACGCAGCGAGTTGGCACACTCGGGGGCACAGGTGGTGGCGCATCTACCGGTCATCTCAGTCAGCCGACCCATGGCACCCGTGACCTCCCGTCAGCGAGCCGACAACACTTCACGTGGCCTCAACGTGCACATAGGCTGGCCACAAGCGTCGTGGTGACGTCGCCGCCACTCGGTATAAACAAATATTACGATTCTGACTTAGTGGCGAACGGCGGCTGTTGTTTTTGCTGTTGTTGTGTGTGTGAACACAGTGCGGTGTTGTACACGTGTTGGCTCTGCGTGGTGAGAGATGTGTCAGACGTCGTGCGACGTAGTCGTATGGGAGCCGCGCGCCAGTCCGTACGCGTGCGTGTGTGCTTACTGCAACGCGGCAGTGTGTACGCGTGCATGTGTGCTTACTGCAATGCGCAAATCCGTACGCGTGCGTGTGTGCAACGCGGCAGTGTGTACGCGCGCGTGCGTGCGTACGTACAGAGTACAATGCGGCAGCCTGCATCCGTGCGTGCGTACAGACTGCAACGTGGCAGCGTGTACGCGTGCGTGCGTGCGTACAGGCTGCAACGTGGCGGCGTGTACGTGCGCCCTCTCACCCACCAGGAAGCCCAGCTGCGTGAAGGCCAGCAGCGCCGTCAGGAAGAGCGCCAGCGCCCGCCACAGCCGCGGCCACGCTCGCTCCAACGTCTTGCCCAGCAGGGCCCACGCGCGAACAAACCGCACCTGCCGTGCCACCTGCGGGGTGGTTGGTGGGGTCGTTATTATCAATAATAATAATAACGACGATAATTCATTTGTTCGTCACATTACAGTAGAGCTCTCGATAATACGTGCTGATGATGGGGAGGATGGCTGCGGATAATTCAAAATTGCGGAAAATAATAAAAAAAATATTCCCACGGATCTCTGTGCCAAAAACCCCCAAGATGGGTAGAAATTATATTGAAATTAAGAAAATTGACCTTTAAAGTATTAAAGCTTTCGTGACTGCATAAAATTACTCATTGGTTTTTTCGGTAAAGTCACGTATGTAGAAATACAATAAAATTATATTAAATGTATTCTATGTATTTCTACATACGTGACTTTACCGAAAAAACCCATGAGTAAAATTGAGCTTCTAAATTAACAAAACAAAAAATTGTCGTGCTAATGATCGACCGACCGATGCACGTGCTCAGTGATAATGACACTTTCCTGCTGCCGCGCAGCAGAAGACTTGGCCCACTAAGTGGATAGCAGCAGCAGATCCACGCCAGGCAACGTCAATCAAACTCCGCGCCCACTGTTGTAAAACAAATGCAACTACTGTACTGTAGAGGCGTTCACGTGGATTTCGGATTAACCGGAGCAACATCTTTGTTCGCTTGAAGCACATGACTTGTAACAAACACTTCCGAGAATAACAATGTGTTACTGTTTTGAGATGATTATTATTTTGGGCTTAAGAGAAAATTCCACGAGTTGTGTAAATTTACGTCAAAATCTCAGGTGCAGCGCGGTTAATCCGCAGATCGGATAAACGGCACGCGGATAAATTTCGATTATAAAGCTTTCGTGACTGCAAGGATTAATCTTCTTTGGTTCTTTCGGTAAAGTCACCACGTAGAATGAGAATAAAATAATAAATTCGATAAAATAAAATAACACGATAAAATTCTCAGGACGTTTCGGCCACAACACAAGCGGCCTTCTCACGACGTTTCGGCCACAACACAAGCGCTGCCCTCCAGACAGTCTCGTCCCTTCACCTGATGAAGGCCGCTTGTGTTGTGGCCGAAACGTCGTGAGAATTTTATTGTGTTATTTTATTTTTTTCATTTCTTATTTTATTCTCATTCTACGTGGTGACTTCACACCGAAAGAACCAAAGAAGACGCACGCGGATAATTATCGAGAGTCGTCTGCAGCCAGCCAGCGACGGACCGTTGAGTGCCAAACCCGTGACCTCTTGCGGCAGCGTTCACGCGAACCGCCGTCCCCCGGCATCCCCCAGTGATTTTCTTCGATCCGCGTATCGCGTGGGAGGGGAGGGGGGGGGGCACGGGGAGGGCGGCACCGTCCCTTTGAGGGGGGGGTCGCAAGCTCTCACTTCGGAGGTTGAGCGAAGCACGCAATCTGCTGCGGGGGGGTTTGCGCGTCGAGACGGGGTGGGGGTGGGGGGGTGACGCGCGTCCACAGAGCGACAACACCACGGCCGTCTCGCCCGGGCTGAGCTCTCGATCGTCGCCAGCAGATGCAGGGAAGTAAATATTAACAGTTTACGCGGCTTTTTTTCCCTCAATCCGCGACGTTGCTGAAGTAGCGGGTTGTCGACTCAGCCTCAAATGAGTAGCCGGCGCGGTGTGTGGTAAACAATCGCCACCGGGAAGACAAAGGCGGCCGGGCGTGGTCCTGGCCACCTGCCCCGGCATGCGCCGTGCCGGCCTTCGCAGGTGCTACGGCACTTGCCCCAACAGTCCGTTTCCCGGCATGCGCGGGGGGCTCTTTGTCTTTGCGCGCGCTCGCGAGACCCACCGTAACGAGCGAGAGGAAGAGCAGCGAGGCCGCGAGCGCCGTCGCCGCCTCGGCCACGAAGACGGCGCTCCGCACGTCCTGGAACTCCGGCGCCGGCGCCCGCGCGAGAAGCTCGCCCAGCGCGAGCCGGTACAGCGTGACGGCCGGCGCGCACACGCACAGCGCCATCGACAGCCAGCACGCCAGGGCCCAGCCCGCGTGCGACGGCGCCGGCGACGCAGACGCCGGCGCCGAGAAGAGCGACCGGGACGACGACGGCGGCGGCGCCGGCGACGACGGCGGCGCCGGCGGCTGCGGCTGCGTGGAGGCTGCGGATCTGCGGAACCGGCGCCACAACGACCACAGCGCCAGCAGGATGCGGACGGAGCCCAGCGCCAGCAGCATGACCTGCGGACACGGGTTCGAGTCCCGGGTGAGCTCGCGGTTGCGCCGCCGCGTGGCTCGCCGATGCGTTCGCAAGGCTGTGCCGCCGCGTGCTGTTTGCCACGGTGTCCGACGTTTCGCTCCAGGAGCTCCCAGCATGCGAATGTGTGTGTGTGTGTGTGTGTATTTGCCCCAACAGTCTAATTCAGGCTATACGGGTGATCTTTGTCTTTGACTGAACATTTACCAGGGCCAACACCAGTGACGGATATTTGAACCGGTCCTGGGCCTTCCTTAGGTTGACTCAGCTTCAATTGAGTACCTAGGGAGACAAAGGCGATCGGGCGTGGTGCTGGCCACCCACCCCCTCGTGTGCCGTGCAGGCCTTCATAGGTGCTGCTCGCTAACAGCACTCGCCCCAACAGTCTGTTGCAGGCTACGCGGGGGGATGTCTGTCTTTGTTTCTGACCGTGCGTAGTAAACCAGGGGCGCACAATGCTGGGGGTGCGAGGCCACGCCCAGCGGCCGCACCCCGGCCACGGTGGGCGCTCTGCCCGGTGCTCTGACTGGTACTCACGGAGAGCGTGAGCACGAGCGCCGAGTCTCGGTGCCGCAGGCCGAGCGGCCGGGCCGCGCGCACGCTCAGCGAGGGCACGGCGGCGACGCCGGCGCCCGCCACGGGGAACTCGAACAGGACGGTGACAGCCGCCACGAGCCCCACCGCCCGGCACCGCAGAGCAAACTCCACGAGCACCGCGCGCGTCCTGCGCGCACGGACACACGCACGCGCGCGCGCGCGCGTGGTCACATGTCCCGGCACCGTGGTGACATCACCGCTACTTAGTGGGCAGCCGCGGCTGTTGTAGCTGCGGTTGCATGGATGTGTGCGCACGTGCGGTAGTGTAGCGGCGAACCGGGCGACCCGAGTTCGATTCCTGCTGACAACCAACGTCGGTGATGAATATCTGAACCGGTCCCGGGCCTCGCCTAGGTCGACTCAGCCTCAATAGAGTACCTGGTACGGTAATAAAGAATTAAAGCTCTCGTGACTGCATAAATTACTCATTGGTTTTTTCGGTAAAGTCACGTCCGTCTTTCCTCTACTTGCCTCTTGGTGTCCCTGTATATGTATTTCTGCTAACTTGTACCTCGTATTTGTTCACTCTATGCTGGAATGTTCAACCCAGAGGATGAACACGAAATTTAGCACTCCTCTGAAATTCGTGGTCCGCCAGGCAAGTGTCTAACTGTGTTGTTGGCCGACTGGTTGTGCATCACGTACATTTTTTCTTAGGTTTGTTGAATTCTCGTCTCTCATCTTCTTGTTGTATTTACCTCCGTACAGTTTAACGCTCCCTATGTGTTGCGTTGATGTCACCTATTTGTTTTTTACACCTGATGAAGATCGCTTGTGTTGCGGTCGAAACGTCGTGATTTATTTTAATATAATTTTATGGTATTTCTACCTGGTACGGTGTGTAAACATTGTCACTGGGGAGACAAAGGCAGCCGGGCGTGGTGCTGGCCACCCTCCCCCTGGTGTGCCGTTCCGGCCTTCACAGGTCCTCGCGAACAGCACTTGCACCCGACAGCCCGTTAAGGCAACAGGGGATATCTTTTATTTCGATTTAAAGCTTTCGTGACTGCAATGATTCATCTTCTTTGGTTCTTTCGGTAAAGTCACGTAGAATGATAATAAAATAATAAATTGATAAAATAAAATAACACAATAATATTCTCACGACGTTTCGGCCACAACACAAGCGGCCTTCATCAGGTGAAGGGGGCGAGACTGTCTGGTAGGACAGCGCTGGAGTGAAAGAGCCACGTTCAGATACGGCCTTTAAGCTGTGTGAGAGGAACAAAGCGCCTTGACAAAAGATATCTTTGTCTTTGTGCGACTCACATCCTGTCGATCCAGCCCTGCTGCTGGAGCATGCTCACGGTGCTCCTGCTCTGCATCAGGTTCCCTGCGAGGTCCTGCACGTAGCCACCCCCCCCGTACCAGCCCAGCTCCCCCCAGTGCCACGCGCTGCACGCAACACACACAACAACACGGGCACGTATGGAAACAACAACAACAACAACAACAACCGCCATTCGTCACTAAGCGGCAGTGACGTCACCACGACACCTGTGCCAGGACATGTGCACTTTAAGGCCACGTGAAGTGTCGAACGGCCACTGGCAGGAGGTCACGGGGCAGACCCAGGTGCTATGGGTTGACTGACTGAGATGATTGGCTGATGCACCACCTGTGCCCCCCACTGTGTCAACTTTCTGTGTTTTAGCTGCACGGTGCTGCGCTCGTTGTCGTGAGCGTCGCTCCTCTGCCCTCCGTTGTTGTTGATGGAGGGCGACTGCCTCCAACTGCCCAAGTAGCATCCTTCATGAGCCTCCTCCACAGAGGCCGATCTTGACACCGCTGGTACCAGCCATCGGCAAGTCCACTCAACTCCACGTCCTTTTGTACCACATCACTCCATCTCTTCTCTAGCCCGTGCCTGTTTAGCCCCCTCTATCCGGCCGAACAAAAACTGTTTAGGCATGTCGTGGCTGGGCATGCGGGCTACATGACTCAGCCAACGCAGCCTTGTCTGTCAGAGGAGCTCCTCACACAATCCAGCCTGGTTAAACCCAAAATGGATCTTAGGCAGGCCAGTGAAACATCTGCTGTCAAACCGGAGGTGGTCATAAGCACACTGCCCATACACGCGACACACACACATGGTACATACACACGACACAAACAACACACACAACACACACACGTGGCACATACACGCGACACACACAACACACACAAGTGGCACGTACACGCGACACACACAACACACACGTGGCACGTACACACGACACACACACCACACACACGTGGCATGTACACGCGACACACAACACACACACACCACACACACGTGGCACGTACACGCGACACACACACCACACACACGTGGCACGTACACGCGACACACAAAACTCAGCACTCCACCATCTCCTGTGGCCCACACCTTGCAGGACCACGTGCCTAGCATCAGAATCGTAATCGTGATTCATCCATTTCACAGATGTCCAGTAAGGGCACGAGGTCAGAAAGTTACAACAACAACCACTACAATACAAAATACACAATCAACAACTCCTGGCAAGGCCTGGTGGTGATGGTGGTCACCAAACCAAGCACTATCAGCGACTCTCTGTCTGTCACACCTGGGAGCGCCTGTGTGGGTCATACCTGGGATTACCGGGACTTGTGTGGTTCATACCGGCACCTGTGTGGTTCACACCGGTACCTGTGTGGGTCACAACTCGGAGCACCTATGTGGTTCACACCTGGGACTACCGGTACCTGTGTGATTCACACCGCTACCTGTGTGGGTCACACCTAGGAGTACCGGTACCTGTGTGGTTCACACCTGGGAGTACCGGTACCTGTGTGGGTCACACCGGTACCTGTGTGGTTCACACCTGGGAGTACCGGTACCTGTGTGGTTCACACCGACACCTGTGTCGTTAACACCGGTACCTGTGTGGTTCACACCTGGGAGTACCGGTACCTGTGTGGTTCACACCTGGGAGTACCGTTACCTGTGTGGTTCACACCGGCACCTGTGTGGTTCACACCTGGGAGTACCGGTACCTGTGTGGTTCACACCGGCACCTGTGTGGTTCACACCTGGGAGTACCGTTACCTGTGTGGTTCACACCGGCACCTGTGTGGTTCACACCTGGGACTACCGGTACCTGTGTGGTTCACACCTTGGACTACCGGTACCTGTGTGGTTCACACCGGTACCTGTGTGGTTCACACCTGGGAGTATCGGTACCTGTGTGGTTCACACCGGTACCTGTGTGGTTCACACCTGGGAGTACCGGTACCTGTGTGGTTCACACCGGTACCTGTGTGGTTCACACCTAGGAGTATCGGTACCTGTGTGGTTCACACCGGTACCTGTGTGGTTCACACCTGGGAGTACCGGTACCTGTGTGGTTCACACCTGGGAGCGCCGGCGCACGTGTAGTTCCAGTTGAGGCTGGAGTTGGGCGTGGGGAGCGTCCACCCAGGACCGAAGCTGCCGGTGACGGCGCCGGCGACTTCGTCACCGATGCAGTCGCCCCATTCCTGCGGCAAGTCCGGCGCCAGCCAAGCGACGCACGGAACTACTCGCACGCACACACAGGCAAAGATCTCCCGTGTAGGCTTCAACAGGCTGTTGGGGCAAGTGTTGTTAGCGAGTAGCAGCGCCTCTGAGGGCCGGCACGGCGCACGAGGGGGTGGGTGGACAGCACCACGCCCTGGTTGCCTTGCGTCTCCCAAGCGCTGATGTTTTTACACACTGCACCAGGTACTCAGTTTGAGGCTGAATCGACCGAGGGGAGGCCCAGGACTGGTTCAGATTTTCACCACCGTGAGTGGGAAACGGTCGCGAGTGGGAATCGAACCCGGATTTCCAGGTTTGTCGCGCAGCGTGCTAACCTCTTTGCCACCGCTCCAACAACAACAACAACAACAACAACCGCCATTCGCCACTAAGAGGGTGTGACGTCACCACGGCGCTTGTGCCAGGCTATGTGCACTATGAGGCTGCGTGAAGTCTTGAAGGCTGGCAAGAGGTCATGGGACAGACCCAGGTGCCATGGGTTGACCGAATGAAACGGCTGGCAGACGCGCCACCTGTGGCCCCTAGCGTGCCAACCAGCTGCGTTTTATCCACCCGGCGCTCCGCTCGAGAGGGTCGCACAGGGAGAGAGCGAGCGAGTGAGAGAGGGAGATAGAGGAGAGAGAGAGAGAGAGAGAGGGGGGGGCGCCAGCTTCCGCCAAGCGAGTGGGGTGACAGTGGGGGGCGGGCGGGAGCTGTACCGGTGGCGCTGCGGTGCTGCCGCAGGCGTGGCGCGCCCAGCAGCGTGGTGGGCCTCTGTGCGTCCGACACGTTGGGGTAGAGGTGGGGCAGCAGCACGCGGCCCAGCCACAGCCACACCTGCTCCGAGCTGCTCGCACAAAGACAAACAACCCCCGTAGAGCCTTAGCATACTGTAGGGGCAAGTGCGGTTAGCGAGCGGGACCTACGAAGGCTGGAACGGCACCACGGGGTGTGGTGGTGTGGCCGGCGCCATGGGGGTGTGGTGGTGTGGCGAGGACCACGTCCAGCAGGCTTCGCCACCCCACGCCACCCCACGCCACCCCACACCACACCACGCCACCACACGCCACCCCACGCAAACCCCAACCCACCTGGCGAGGGCAGAGAGATGCAGGGGCCCGTCTCGCGCCGCCAGCATGGCCTGCCGCGTGCCGGCCGCCAGCAGGCGAGCGTGGCGGTCGCTCGGCGCGTCCCAGTAGGTGAAGAGCAGCACCAGCAGCAGCAGCAGCAAGTGCAGCACGAAGCTCTGCGTAGACACGGCAGCGGCACAACCACGTCCGGTATGCAACTCTCTCACACTCTGTCTGTCCTGTCTCTCGGGTCTGCCTGTCTCTCGGGTCTGCCTGTCTCTCGGGTCTGCCTGTCTCTCGCTACAGCCGCTAACCGAGTTCGCGCCCCTGCCGCTACCGGTCATCAAAGGCAACGCCAGAGAGTATTTCGGCGTGGTGAAGGGCGATGGCTCTTCTTCAGAGCGATGGTGGTGGCAGTTATTTTTATTTTTATTGCTGTGGCCCAGCTGAGTCCACACGGCTGAGCGAGCGCCAGCGGGGGGAGGGGGGGAGGGGGGTAGTGGGGGGGAGTGGGGGGGAGGGGGGGTAGTGGGGGGGAGCGAGGGGGAGGAGGGGGGGGTGCTCTCACGGCGCTGCTCCTCTCTCACCTTCACGAGCGCCTTGAGGTGCCGGAGCTTGCGGGCCTCCTCCTTGGCCTGCAGGAGGCCGTAGCCGCAGGGCGGCCGCACCTTGCCCATGGGGTCGGGCGCCGGCCGGACCAGCGGCTCCTCCACCAGCTCGTCGTCCTCGTCCGGGTCGACGCGGCGCTGCAGCGAGGCGCGGGCCAGCGCCTCCACCACGATCTGATCGCGCAAACCGTTACCGCTGCGGTCATTGCGACTGACGCCGTGATGCCGCCAACGATAAACCACCGCGACCGCCGCTACCGCCGGCGGCGCCTACGCCCACTGCTGCTGTCGCCGCCGTCACCGCAACCGCCGCCGCCGCGATCGCCGTGAGGCTAACACCGGCTACTGCCACCGTCGCCAGTCATCGACTCGTTCACCACCATTGCCATCGCAATCACCGCTGCCACCACCACTAGCTGCCAACGTCACCACCACATTCGTCCGTCAGTCATCGACCCCTTCACCAACATCATCACCACCGTCAGACTCCTTCACCGCCATCACCACCATCACCATACTAACCACCGCCACCGCCGCCGCCACAGCCGGCGCGTGGGTGCGCCCGCGCCAGCGCCCTGCGGCCCCGCGCCGGCATCACCTTGAGAGGCTCCAGCAGGAGGAAGGAGGCGGCGAGCGCCGTGACGGACGCCAGGAGCCACGCGAGCGCCACGCTCGGCGAGAAGCTGACGCCGTAGAGGCACGTCGCGGCGATGCACGCGGCGAACCCGGCCACGCACGCGCCGTGCGCCAGCGTAGCGCACCAGCGCGGCAGGGGCGCCCGCACGCCGCGCCGCACGCACACTGCGGGCAACACGGGGCAACGCGCAAACACACGAAGGTTTCCCCCCCGCCGTGTAGGCCACACGAGGCTGCGGGGAAGTGCCGTGAGCGAGCAAGTCGCCCCCGTGAAGGCAGGGCACACGGCGCACGGCGGAGTGATGTGGTTCAGAAAAACCGCGCCCGTCCGCCTTCTTTCTCCCAAATGCGAATGCGCCACGGCGGCGAGATGTTAACTGCCTCGCCTGGTATGCAGGAGGTCGTGGGTTCGATCCCCACCCCTGACGCCTGCTGCTGTATATTTTGAGTTTGCGTCTCTCTCCGTGGTGAGATGTTAACTACCTCGCCTGGTATTCAGGAGGTCGTGGGTTCGATCCCCACCCCTGACGCCTGCTGCTGTATATTTTGAGTTTGCATCTCTCTCCGTGGTGAGATGTTAATTACCTCGCCTGGTATTCAGGAGGTCGTGGGTTCGATCCCCACCCCTGACGCCTGCTGCTGCTGTATATTTGGAGTTTGACTGGTCTTCCATTGGTCGCGTGGATTTTTCATCGTTTTTTGCCTCCACGTTTAGAATCGACGTGCGTTTAAAGTTTTTAGGTGCGATACATTTCCACGGGATAACCCACTCCCTTGGGCTATAGTTTAGTTTAGAGTTTACACACTGACACCAGGTACTAATTTGTAAGGCCGAGTCGACCTAGAGGAAGCCCAGGACAGTTTCAGGCATTCGTTTGTGAGCGGGAATCAAACTCGGGTCGCTGGGTTCGCAAGCACAGTGTACTAACCACTGCTCCACCACTCCCTACACACACGGTGAGGGTGTGAGCGACATGGTGGAGGTGTGAGCCACGTACAGTGTTGTCCCGTGTGTGAGTGCACATTTGTGCGTGCGTGCGTGCACTTGCATTCAATTCCTGCTCACGGCCAACACCAGTGACGATTATCTGAACCGGTCCCGAGCCTCCCTTAGGTCGACTCAGCCTCAAACGAGTACCCAGTGCGGTGTGTAGTAAACATCGCCACTGGGGAGACAAAGGCGGCCGGGCGTGGTGCTGGCCACCCACCCCCTCGTGTGCCGTGTCGGTCTTCACAGTCTGTTAAGGCTACACGGGGGATCTTTGTCTTTGTGCATGTGTGAGCGCGTGCGCGTGCGTGTGTGTTGTGCGTGCGTGTTGTGCGTGCGTGTCGCTCCGGGAGTCACCGGTTTTCCGCGACGCCGCCGATCCGGGCTTGGAGAGGCACGAGACGACGCCCGAGCGGCTCCGCGCCGACGGGAGGCACGACGCCGAGCCGTAGAACGCGCCGCCGGCCCGACTCGACGGAGGCCGCCGGTCGGCTCCCGGCAAGGCCGTCGGGTCGAGGCTGCGCAGGGGCGGGAGGGCGGGCGAGGGAGCGGTGAGACGGTGACGGCGACGGCCGTCGTGGGGCCACCGCTGACCAGGCGTCCGCATTGCCAGAGCTGCGCTAGCCAGATCGCCGAACTAACCCGATGTCTCCGCCGAATGACGTTAAGACCGCCGGTGACGCGACTCATCGGGTAACGTAGGCCAGAGTTTGGGGGAAGGAGAGTTCCGTTGCTTCTTTTCCCACGTGGGCCGCTGGACGGGAGGCACGGGCGAGGTTTGGTGATGTCAACCGCGTCATTGTCGTCCCGGCACTACTCACCGACCATCCCCGGCTCTACTCACCAGCTGTCCCAGCTCTCCTCACCAGCTCTACTCACCAGCTGTCCCGGCTGTACTCACCAGCTGTCCCAGCTCTACTCACCAGCTGTCCCAGCTCTACTCACCAGCTGTCCCAGCTCTACTCACCAGCTGTACTCACCAGCTGTCCCAGCTCTACTCACCAGCTGTCCCGGCTCTACTCACCAGCTCTACTCACCAGCTGTCCCAGCTCTACTCACCAGCTGTCCCGGCTCTACTCACCAGCTCTACTCACCAGCTGTCCCAGCTCTACTCACCAGCTGTCCCAGCTCTACTCACCAGCTGTACTCACCAGCTGTCCCAGCTCTACTCACCAGCTGTACTCACCAGCTCTACTCACCAGCTGTACTCACCAGCTGTCCCAGCTCTACTCACCAGCTATACTCACCAGCTGTACTCACCAGCTGTCCCAGCTCTACTCACCAGCTGTCCCGGCTCTACTCACCAGCTCTACTCACCAGCTCTACTCACCAGCTCTACTCACCAGCTCTACTCACCAGCTGTCCCAGCTCTACTCACCAGCTGTACTCACCAGCTGTACTCACCAGCTGTACTCACCAGCTGTCCCAGCTCTACTCACATGTCAGACAGGAGGTCGGCGTCGGCGCGCGGTGAGAAGCGGCCGCTGTCCGAGGAAGGTCGATCCTGCGACCTCCCGCTCTCCGCCAGGATCTGCTGCATCAGCTCCTCGTCTGCGCACACCGCAACACACAGACACGAGAGTGGTGGGTGGGTGAGTAAGTGGGTGGGTGGGTAAGTGGGTGTTTGAGAGAGTGGGTGGGTGAGAGAGTGGGTGGGTGAGTGGGTGGGTGGGTGGGTGAGTGAGTGGGTGTGTGAGAAAGTGGGTGGGTGAGTGGGTGGGTGAGTGGGTGTATGAGTGAGTGAGTGGGTGGGTGAGTAGATCAGTGAGTAGATCAGTGAGTAGATGTGTGAGTGGGCGTGTGAGTGAGTGAGTGGGGAGTGGTCGCGTAGCAGTTAGCGCACTGTGCAATGAACCTCCCGGGTTCGATTCCTGCTCATGGCCAACATCAGTGACAATTATCTGAACCGGTCCTGGGCCTCCCCAGGACCGGTTCAAATGAGTACCTGGTGCAGTGCATAAACATCGCCACTAGGGAGACAAAGGGTGGCCGGGCGTGGTGCTGTGCCGGCCTTCATAGGTTGTTATCGGCAGTTTGGTGGTGGTGGCGGCGGTGGGTGGAGGCATCAACGATCGTGGCTCGCTCGGACCAGGGACCGCTGCGGTAGCGACTGAACAGTGACAAGGAAGGCGAGCGGAATGCAATTCAGTGAGCGCTGTTGAGAACACGCCAGGCTCGGTGATCGCTCACCGGCAGGCGTGAGTCGGCTGTCGCGGGCGGAGGAGTTGGCGCTACGCTCGGAGCCCGACAGCGAGAGCGGCTCCTCCGACGACGCGAGCGACGCGTCCACGCGGAGGCTGCGCGACGCCTCCGCCCGCCGCAGAGACGGCCGTGCCGTGGGGCCGGCGGTGGTGAGGCCCTCCGCCGCCGCCGCCGCCGCCGCGGTGCCGGTGTGGGCGGCGTGAGTCGCCAGCAAGTCGGGGAGAGACTTGGGACCGGCTCTGAAGAAATGTAAACGCGTGCGTGTGTTTGTGTAGGTCGTACTAGGCTGCAGTGACCTATAGCTCTTCTGTGGGTCTCTGTGTGAGTCTATGTGTTTCTGTGTGAGTCTATGGGTCTCTGTGTGAGTCTATGGGTGTCTGTGTAAGTCTATGGGTCTCTGTGTGAGTCTATGTGTCTCTGTGTAAGTCTATGTGTCTCTATGTGAGTCTCTGTGTCTCTGTGTGAGTCTATGGGTCTCTGTGTGAGTCTATGGGTCTCTGTGTGAGTTTATGTGCCTCTGTGTAAGTCTATGGGTCTCTGTGTGAGTCTATGGGTCTCTGTGTGAGTCTATGGGTCTCTGTGTGAGTCTATGGGTCTCTGTGTGAGTCTATGGGTCTCTGTGTGAGTCTATGGGTCTCTGTGTGAGTCTATGTGTCTCTCTGTGAGTCTATGTTTCTCTCTGTGAGTCTATGTGTCTCTGTGTGAGTCTATGTGTCTCTATGTGAGTCTCTGTGTCTCTGTGTGAGTCTATGGGTCTCTGTGTGAGTCTATGGGTCTCTGTGTGAGTCTATGTGTCTCTGTGTAAGTCTATGGGTCTCTGTGTGAGTCTATGTGTCTCTGTGTGAGTCTATGGGTCTCTGTGTGAGTCTATGTGTCTCTGTGTGAGTCTATGTGTCTCTGTGTGAGTCTATGTGTCTCTGTGTGAGTCTATGTGTCTCTGTGTAAGTCTATGGGTCTCTGTGTGAGTCTATGTGTCTCTGTGTAAGTCTATGGGTCTCTGTGCGAGTCTATGGGTCTCTGTGCGAGTCTATGTGTCTCTGTGTAAGTCTATGTGTCTCTGTGTGAGTCTATGGGTCTCTGTGTGAGTCTATGTGTCTCTGTGTAAGTCTATGGGTCTCTGTGTGAGTCTCTGTGTCTCTGTGTGAGTCTATGGGTCTCTGTGTGAGTCTATGGGTCTCTGTGTGAGTCTATGTGTCTCTGTGTAAGTCTATGGGTCTCTGTGTGAGTCTATGGGTCTCTGTGTGAGTCTATGGGTCTCTGTGTGAGTCTATGGGTCTCTGTGTGAGTCTATGTGTCTCTGTGTAAGTCTATGGGTCTCTGTGTGAGTCTATGTGTCTCTGTGTGAGTCTATGGGTCTCTGTGTGAGTCTATGTGTCTCTGTGTGAGTCTATGTGTCTCTGTGTGAGTCTATGTGTCTCTGTGTGAGTCTATGTGTCTCTGTGTAAGTCTATGGGTCTCTGTGTGAGTCTATGTGTCTCTGTGTAAGTCTATGGGTCTCTGTGCGAGTCTATGGGTCTCTGTGCGAGTCTATGTGTCTCTGTGTAAGTCTATGTGTCTCTGTGTGAGTCTATGGGTCTCTGTGTGAGTCTATGTGTCTCTGTGTAAGTCTATGGGTCTCTGTGTGAGTCTATGTGTCTCTGTGTAAGTCTATGGGTCTCTGTGTAAGTCTATGGGTCTCTGTGTGAGTCTATGTGTCTCTGTGTGAGTCTATGGGTCTCCGTGTAAGTCTATGGGTCTCTGTGTGAGTCTATGGGTCTCTGTGTGAGTCTATGTGTCTCTGTGTAAGTCTATGGGTCTCTGTGTGAGTCTATGTGTCTCTGTGTAAGTCTATGGGTCTCTGTGTGAGTATATGGGTCTCTGTGTGAGTCTATGGGTCTCTGTTTGAGTCTCTGTGTAAGTCTATGGGTCTCTGTGTGAGTCTATGGGTCTCTGTGTGAGTCTATGGGTCTCTGTGTAAGTCTATGTGTCTCTGTGTGAGTCTATGGGTCTCTGTGTGAGTCTATGGGTCTCTATGTGAGTCTATGGGTCTCTGTGTGAGTCTATGGGTCTCTGTGTCAGTCTATGTGTCTCTGTGTGAGTCTATGTGTCTCTGTGTAAGTCTATGTGTCTCTGTGTGAGTCTATCGGTCTCTGTGTGAGTCTATGTGTCTCTGTGTGAGTCTATGTGTCTCTGTGTAAGTCTATGGGTCTCTATGTGAGTCTATGGGTCTCTGTGTGAGTCTATGGGTCTCTGTGTGAGTCTATGGGTCTCTGTGTGAGTCTATGGGTCTCTGTGTGAGTCTATGGGTCTCTGTGTGAGTCTATGGGTCTCTGTGTGAGTCTATGGGTCTCTGTGTTAGTCTATAGGTCTCTGTGTGAGTCTATGGGTCTCTGTGTGAGTCGTCTACGGGTTTCCGTGTGAGTCTAAGTCTCTTGATCAGCCTATGGGTATATGTGCTGGTGGGCAGCATAGGTGAGTGTATGCTCTCCACCTTCACCGACCCGCACTGGCCAACGTGGTGAAGCATGGTCAAACAACCCCAACGAACCCCACTGCGTAGGGGGGGCCCTCGTCCAGCAGTGGACTGACAAGACGGCCGTGCTATGCACGCTTGCGTGAGTTAAGGACGAGCAACTGTTGAACCGCACCCTCCACCGCCCCTCCGCGTGGCCACACGGCAGGAAGGGGAATAGACAATGCATGGGAAAAAAGAGCAAGCACCATATGTACGTGTGTATGTACGTTGAACTTATTAAGCACCGTACATAGCCAATCATGCTAATCGGAGGTGCAGTGTGGAGTGTTAGTCTATGGGTAGTGAATGGGTAGTGGTAGTGTATGGGTAGTGTTAGTCTATGGGTAGTGTAGTCGATGGGTAGTGGTAGTCTATGGGTAGTGTTAGTCTATGGATAGTGTTAGTCTATGGGTAGTGTTAGTCTATGGGTAGTGCTAGTCTATGGGTAGTGTTAGTCGATGGGTAGTGTTAGTCTATGGGTAGTGTTAGTCTATGGGTAGTGTTAAGTCTATGGACAGTGTTGAGTCGATGGTGCAGTGTTGAGTCTATGGGCAGTGTTGAGTCTATGGTGCAGTGTTGAGGCTATGGGCAGTGTTGAGTCTATGGGTAGTGTTAGTCTATGGGTAGTGTTAGTCTATGGGTAGTGTTAGTCTATGGACAGTGTTAGTCTATGGGTAGTGTTAGTCTATGGGTAGTGTTAGTCTATGGGCTGTATGTTTGTTGAACGTCTTTCGCACCGCACGTAGCCAACCGTGCTAATCGGAGGTGCGGAAAGGAACAAGAGAAAGAAAATGGAATAGAACGACAAACTATTAAACTAAACTATTTTTTATTCTCCCAGGTAAGGCCCCACAGAGCTGTGTAGCTCTTTTTCAGAAGCGACCTGGCCGTTCACGATGATAGCCCAACGAAGTGGCTCATCATCATCACGTGGAAATGTATCGTAGCCAAATGCTCTGAGCGCGTGGTGACGTTGATTCTAAATGTGGAGGGAAAAACCGAAGGACCTGGAGAAAAATCGACGCGACCACGGGGAGAGAGACACCGCAAACCCCAAATATACAGCAGGCATCAGGGTCGGGATCAAACCCACCACCTCCGACATACCAGGCGAGGGAATTAACATCTCCTAGCCACCGTGGCAAGATGTTAATAGGGGCGAACGGACTGAGAAGGAACAGAGGAACTGGACCAAAGGGTGCAGGAGAGATGATGGAGAGGAGGAGGAGGCTGAATCAGGGCCTCGACGCTGCTGCTGCTGCATGGAGCGGAGTTTTCACAGTGGGTGGCGGACGGACATAGGGGAGGGGTTCAGAGTGGGCGTGGCCACACAGAAGCCACGTGGTGTATGGGAGGCTCCAGCTGGCCTAGATAGATAGATGAGAGGGATTCAGAGTGGGCGTGGCCACACAGAAGCCACGTGGTGTATGGGAGGCTCCAGCTGGCTGAGATAGAGAGATCGATGAGAGGGGTTCAGAGTGGGCGTGGCCACACAGAAGCCACGTGGTGTATGGGAGGCTCCAGCTGGCTTAGAGAGATAGATGAGAGGGGTTCAGAGTGGGCGTGGCCACACAGAAGCCACGTGGTGTATGGGAGGCTCTAACTGGTTTAGAGAGAGAGATCGATGAGAGGGGTTCAGAGTGGGCGTGGCCACACAGAAGCCACGTGGTGTATGGGAGGCTCCAGCTGGCTTAGATAGAGAGATAGATGAGAGGGGTTCTGAGTGGGCGTGGCCACACAGAAGCCACGTGGTGTATGGGAGGCTCTAACTGGTTTAGAGAGAGAGATCGATGAGAGGGGTTCAGAGTGGGCGTGGCCACACAGAAGCCACGTGGTGTAAGGGAGGCTCCAGCTGGCTGAGATAGAGAGATAGATGAGAGGGGTTCAGAGTGGGCGTGGCCACACAGAAGCCACGTGGTGTATGGGAGGCTCTAACTGGTTGAGAGAGAGATCGATGAGAGGGGTTCAGAGTGGGCGTGGCCACACGGAAGCCACGTGGTGTATGGGAGGCTCTAACTGGTTGAGAGAGAGATATGAACACAACGCCACTCACATTGGCAAATTCAAGAGACGTAAAAACAAGAGTGGCATCAGCAGGTGAACCCTGGTACTCACGAGATTACGCTCTCTTTCCTATCTTGGTAGTTCTGTAGGAAGAGAGAGACAAAGAGAGAGATTCGCGGTCACATCTCATTTGGCGTTTATCGGAGCCACGTGCGGAGGAAATACACAACCGATCGGCAGCACCAATCCTCACACACACACACACACGGGTGCAGTGCAAGACAACACCCCCCCCCTCTAGCACCCGATTAGTGTGGCGAAGGCGCTAGCAGCGGAGGGTGCACACGAGAGCCCCGTGTGGAATGAAGTCGAGACGGACGTGGGGGTCGACATCGATGGACATGAGACGTGAGAGAGAGACGTGGGGGTCGAGATCGATGGACGTGAGATATGAGAGAGAGAGACGGACGTGGGGTACAAGAGAGAGAGAGAGAGACGATCCGAGCTAGATGTAGGACTGGCCTCCATGTCGGGGAGCTCCAGCATTGAGTCGCCGCCCTCAGAGGCGTCCACGTAGGCATCGATCTCCAGCACCTCCAGCTCGGAGCTGTCCACGTGCTGCATCGAGATCTACGCACACACACACACACCGTGCACACACGCACGCCACCCCGTGTACACACACATGTTAACACACACACCGTGTATACAAACACCATGTACACACACCATGTACACACACACAGTCTACACACACACATTGTTCACACACACATTGTTCACACACACATTGTTCACACACACACACCGTGTACACAAACACCACGTACACACAGAGTGTACACACACACACATGTTAACACACACACCGTGTATACAAACACCATGTACACACACACAGTGCACACACACACTATGTACACACACATGTTAACACACACACACCGTGTACACAAAACCATGTACACACACAGTGTACACACACACACTGTGAACATACACACACACACAGTGTACACACACAAAGTGTACACACACACACTGTGTACACACACACAATATACACACACACACACCGTGTACACACACACACTGGACACACACACACTGTGTACACACACACATTGTTCACACACACAGTGTACACATACACACAGTGTACACACATACCGTGTACACACACAGTGTACACACACAGTGTACACAGACACAGTGTACACACACACAGTGTATACACACACATTGTACACACACAGTGTACACACACATAGTGTACACACACACATACACACTGTGTACACACACATAGCGTACACACACACATTGTTCACACACAGTGTACACACACACACACAGTGTACACACACACACACACTGTGTACACACACACACACACACCGTGTACACACAAAGACACCAAATAAAGCCCGTCGACAGGCCCGGCACCTGGGTTCTTGACTTTCGGAAGACGAGGGAGAGGATGACGTAGACAGGGAAGGAGAGACAAGCGGTCACCATGCCAACCGCCACGTCGCTCCAGCCCACGGATAGAGACTCCGACACTGGGACTCTACTCACACACACAAATACAAAGATCCCCCGTATAGTCTTCTAACAGACTGTAGGGACAAGGGAGGCCCAGGAACGGTTCAAATAATCGTCACCGGTGTTGGCCGTGAGCGGGAATCGAACTCGGGTCGCCGAGCTCGTAGTACAGTGCGCTAACCGCTACACTACCGCTCCCCACTCACATGGACACACACAACCACATACAACCACAGCTCTAACCACACACACACACATATGTATGTTAATCTTCTTTGGAACCGTACGTAGCCAACCGTGCTAATTGGAGGTGTGGGGAAGGACAACAAACTAAACACAGCAACCAAGCAATTCCGAAGAAATTCGTTTTCTACGAACACGATTTAAAATTGCTTAGCTCCAACGGCTTCCTCATATCGGAAGGGAGGGCGTTCCAGACGGCCGCAGAAGCGCATTCAACCACGCTCGCCGCGGTCGCCCCCGGCTCCTCACCTGGCCCCGGCGACGGCGCCGGTGGCGTTGGAGGCGACGGCGCCGTACCACACGGCCGAGACGCCCAGGAAGGCGGCGAGCAGCAGGGCGCAGGCGGAGACGCGCTGCGCTCGCGTGAAGCGGCTGCGCGCCGGCCGGTCGAGCACGGAGAGCCAGGCGTGGCGCTCCGACACGCCGCGCTGCAGCTCGCCCACGAACACGCGGCCAAAGCGGCGCAGGTCCTCGGGGCCTGCGCGCGACGCACCGCCACGCGCAACGCAGAGACAAAGTTCCCGCCGCCGCCACCGCCGCCACCGCCACCGGACTGTTGGGGCAAGTGCTGTTAGCTGGCCGTGCGGGCGAGTCTGGGAGAGTCTGAGCAAGCAAGAGCGAGCGTGGGCGAGTGTGGGCGAGTGCGGGCGAGTGCGAGCGAGCGTGAGAGCAAGTGCGAATCAGCAAAAGTGAGTACAAGCGAGTGATAGCGAGCGAGCGTGGGCAAGTGCGGGCGAGTGTGAACGAGCGAGCGTGGGCGAGTGCGGGCGAGTGAGAGCGAGCGTGGGCAAGTGCGGGCGAGTGAGAGCGAGCGTGGGCAAGTGCGGGCGAGTGTGAGCGAGCGTGGGCGAGTGCGGGCGAGCGGCGCTCACTGGCGGCGAGCACGTCCCTCTCCACCAGCCCGTCGTTGCGTTGGTTTTCCACCGAGAGCCAGTCGTCCAGGATGAAGCCGTACGTCTTGCCCGTCTCCAGCTCGCGCACCATCACGTGCCGCACGTGCCACGCCGGACTCAGCCCTGGCGCCAGAAGGCGGTGGCGGTAGCGCACGCGCGCGGTTAGGCGGAGCCCTCGGCGCGACGTGACGGCGTCTCGCGACGATCGTCCCCGGCGTCGGCCCGCCGTGACTGCTGTGCTCGCCGCGCGTGGTGTTTCGCCGCGGTGGTTAAGCGAGCGACGCGGGCTCACACGTCGCTCGTCACTGGCGTGAGCCGTAGCCGAGAATCGAAGCACGGTGCGCGTGTGTGTCTGTGCGTGTGCGCGCGTGTGTGTGTGTGTGTGCGTGTGTGTGCGTGTGTGTGTGTGCGTGTGCGTGCGTGGGTGAGCGCCAGCGGGCGTTCGACACTTCACGTGGCCTCAAGGTGCACATGGCCTGGCACAAGCGTCGTGGTGATGTCACCGCCACTTAGTGGCGAATGGCGGTTCTTGTTGTTGTTGTTGTGTGCGCGTGGGGTGGAGCAATAGTGCAAGGGCGAACGCGGCGCGCTACTAACCCGGCGACCCGAGTTCGATTCCCGCTCATGGCCAACACCGGTGACGATAATCTTAACCGGCCCTCCCCCCCTAGGTAGACTCAGCATCAAATGAGTCCGACGTGGTGTTGGCCACCCACCTCCTCGTGCCAGCTTTCATAGGGTAGCCCCAAAGAGTCTGTTACGGGCTACACGGCGGGGGGGGGGGGGGGGGGGGGGGATCGTTGTCTTTGTTCGTGTGCGAGTTGGCGCGCGGGTTACCGGTGTTGTCGTGCCACACGCGGATCTTCCACAGCCGGCCCAGCCGCAGGTGGCACGCGATGTGGAACACGTCGGCCGCGTTGCGCCGGAAGGCGCCGTCGCGCGCCAGGAATCGAGCGCCGCTCTTCTCGCGCCCGTACAGGCTGATGCCCACGTGCGCCGTGGTGCCTGCAACGCACGCACGCACGGACGCACACGCACGCACGCACGCACGCACGCACACACGCACGCACACGCACGCACGCACGCACGCACACACGCACGCACGCACGCACGCACGCTAGTCACGGCAGCAGCAGCGGCAGCGTGGGATCGAACGTCGCCGGTGGCCGGGAATCGCACGCAGGTCACGGGGCTCATTGCGAGCGAGCGAGCGAGAGTGCAAACGAGCGGGCGGCTGCTGTCGAAGGACTGGACGTCTGTGAAAAAGAACTTCGAAGCTCATCGGATTCCTCCAGGATAAATAACGGACTGTAGGGGGCAAGCGCTGTTAGCGAATACCTAATTATTGAGAACTAATTTCTGTAGAACTGATCTTTGTGTTTAGTTTGTCGTTGATCTTCCCCCGCGCCTCCGATTAGCGCGGTTGGCCATGTGGAGTGAGAAAGAAGTTCAACAGACACACATATGAAAGGCGGCACGGCACACGAGGGGGTGGGTCGCCAACACCCACGTCCGGCCGCCTTCATCTCCACAGTGCTGATGCTTACACACCGCACCAACGACTCATTTAAGGCTGAGTCGACCTAGAGGGGGCCCCTGGATCTGTTGAAATATTCGCTGGGATTTATACCGCAGTGTACTAGCCACTGCGCCACCGCTCCCACACACTCATTCAAAGACAAAGATCACCCATATAGCCTCAATAGACCGTTGGGGCAAGTGCTGTTGGTGAGCACCTATGAAGGCCAGCATAGCACACGAGGCGGTGGGTGGCCAGCACCACGCCCAGCCGCCTTTGTCTCCCCAGTGGCGATGTTTACACATTGCGCCAGCTACTCATTTGAGGCTGAGTCGACCTATAGGACGCCCAGGACCGGTTCAGATAATCGTCACCGGTGTTGGCCGTGCACGGGAATCGAACCCGGGCCGCCGGGTTCGTAGCGCAGCGTAGCGCTTAACTGCAACGCTCCCGCTCCCCATACACACTCACTCACCCAGACTACTTCTACTGTTTCTATTTGACCAAGGTGCACTGAGCTACATGGCTCTTTTTCAGATGCGACCTGGCTATCACCAATGGTAGCTTAACGAAGTGCCTTATCGCGTAGACATTTTAAGCAGCCAAATACTCTAAATGCATGTTTCTGAATATTCAGGTGTCAGGGTTGGGATCGAACCCACGACCACCTGTATAACAGGCGAGGTAATAATTCGATTTTATAGAACGTCATTCATGCAATTGCATCCCACAACGCCACAACATCAATTAGCCGGTCCCTTACACGGATGGCACGAAAACAAAACCCCCACTTACTTAGCAAATAAAAAAACTAAGAAATGAATACATAAATAACGACGACAAAGGACACACGAGAAAATTATCATCACGGAAAAAATAAATTAGGTATATCAATATCTCGCCACCGCGGCGCCACCACGCACCTAACACTCACTAACTCAGCCCGGTTCCCCCGACACAGCCGACCCACACTCACCGGAGCCGCTCCCCCACGCGGTCTTCACCATCACCTCGTACTTGTAGCGTCCCTCGGGTCCGCACAGCGGCACCACGCCCACCCGCCTGATGTCCACCAGGTCCATCCGCCGTGCCAGCAGCGCCACCACGAGGTACGCGCCGCACAGCGCCGCGCACACCAGCACGGCCACCAGCGAGAGGCTCTCCAGGGTCTGTTAGGCGGCGGGCAACCGTGGGGACGTGTCGTCGGGCCGGGCGAGAGATCGAGGGAGGGGAGAGAGACGAGAGGGACGGCAGGATGAGTCTCGGGTGCGAGAGCCGGGTGGGTGACCTGGGTCATCCCCCCAGATCTCGACGGCTACAGCAGCGAACGAACACAACGACCGACAAATGGAAATTGAATGTCCATCACAAAGTTGAACATATCGCTTTAGATGCAGGATATGTGGCTTTCAAATAAAAAAAAAAGTGCATTAAATACGACGTTTCAGGCAATGGGCCATCTTCATAGCCCAATACGTCGTCACCCGTTACAAACATTTTTTTGTCTTAAGGCCCCACAGCGTTATTAGTGACGAAGGTGTTGCATTGTCGATGTTGTTGTTGTTGTTGTTGTCACTCGTTGTCATTGCGCATCACTGCCAACGGAGCAGCAGCAGAATCGCCAGATTACTAATGAATACAATAAAGAATTATCATCGTCATCGTCGTCGTCGTCGTCATCATCCCCGCTGGCGCTGTGGGAAAGCGGTGCCCGCCCGCTCGCCCGCCCGCCCGCCCAACCGCCCGCCCGACCGCCCGCTCACCGGTGGCAGCAGGGACACGGCGCCCGGAGGTACGAACATGCCGGCCCCGAACACCGTCAGGTGCCGGCTACGGCACACGGCGGCGCCGGGGCCCGTGGCCCCGTCGGGCTCCGTGCCGTCGCCAGCCCAGCCGTCCGGCGCTCCCGGCGCCAGCCACTGGCAGAGCGCGAGGTAGGCGCCGACGCGCACTCGCACCGCCGAGCCGGCGTGCCGGTTGCGGACGAGCAGCATGAACGGCCGCGTCGTGTCGTACGACCTGGCGGCGGCGGCGGCGGCGGCAGACCGGAAGGGGGGCAGGAGTGGAGGGGGAGGGAAAACGTGGCACGCGTGAACGTCGTCGACATAAGTACGTGCAGGGGGTAGCGCGGTGATAATGCTCGTTGCCTCGCGGCAAGACAAGAAGGCTTTGGGTTCTGTTCCCAACTCGGGCGGCAGTCTGCGTCGAGTCGGCGTGTGCCCGCCCTGTTCCTGCGTGAGTGTGAGCGAACGTGTGTGGGGGGGGCGGTAGCGTAGAGGTTAGCGGGTTGCGGCCCGAGTTCGATTCCTGCTCACGGTCAACAGCAGTGACGATTACCTGAACCGGTCCCGTGCCTCCCCTAGGTTGACTCAGCCTCAAATGAGTAGCTGGTGCGGTGTGTAAAAACATCCCACTGGGGAGACAAAGGCGGTCGGGCGTGGTGCTTAAAAAGAGCGATACAGCTCCCTGTGCGTATGTTTGTTGAACTTCTTTCGCACCGTACGTAGCCAACCGTGCCGATCGGAGCGCCATACCTGGTACAATAAAACGTTTGATTTCGTTTAGCTTTCGGCGACTCACGTGGGCGACAGGGCGAGCGTGCAGGCCGACAGGTTCCCGCGCTCCACCTCCTCCAGCGGGATCTGCTTGGCGATGACGACGGCGGTGGCGGCGGCGTCGCCGCCCGTCCCCGGCTGCTCGTCACCAGGCAGCGCCGGCGCGTAGCCGTGCAGGCTCACGTCCACGCGGCGCACGGCGTCCGCGCTCGCAGCCGCATCTGCCCCTCCGCAAGCGAGCGAGCAAGTGACTAAGTGAGTGAGCGAGCTAGTGAGTGAGCAAGCGAGTGAGCATGGGAGTGACTGAGCGAGCGAGCACGAGCGAGTGCGCGAGCGACAGAATGAACAACGTGAGCGATTGACCGAGTGTGCGATTGAGTAAGCACATGAGCGAGTGACTGAGCAGTGCGAGCGAGTGAATGAGCGAGTGAGCGAGCCAACGATTGAGCGAGTGACTGAACGAGTGAGTGAGCGATTGAGTGAGTGAGCAAGCGAGCGAGCACGTGAGTAATGTGCCGGCTAGGTCCCTCACCGTCCTCGGGCGTGTACGTGACCTGCACGAACAGGCCGGCCCTCGCGTCCTCGTTGCTGGCGTTCACGCTGAAGTTGACGGCGCCGCCCGGTGGCACGGAGACGGTGCCATCGCCGGCGGTCCCGGCGGTCGCCGCCACCAGCGACTCGGAGAGGTTGAGGGCCGGCCCCGGCAGCGTGACCAGGATGGCGGCGCCGGCGGGCAGGTCGCTCACCGGCACCACCGAACCGTCGTCGGCGCGGCTCAGCTCCAGCGAGGCGACGCGGGACGACACGGCGAGGCTGCCCAGGGGATCCGGCTCTGGGAACGGGCTGCTCGGCATCACCAGCATCACCTGGGCACGCACGTCGGACCGGCAAAAGGTGCGGCGCACTTCGTCAACGGAACGGTGCGGATCATTCAGTCGGTCACCACCACGACCACTGCCACCACCGCCAATCGTTCGCCCGCTCATTCCGCACCTCCAATAAGCACGGTTGGCTAGGTATGGTGCGAAAGAAATTCACATTACATGCATATACATATACAGACACATACACCACCGTCACCGCCACACTATCACCATACCATTGACGTCGCCATCACCGCCGCCGTTGCCACCACCACAGCTTAACTCAAGCACAGTGCGAAACCGCGTCATCTACACGCGGCCGCCCAACGTAACCAATCGCGAGCCGCCCCTGCGGCACGGTTTGGTTCGTTCACCGGAAGAGCACCCGAGCCGTGCCGCGCCGGCTCTGCACGGCGCCAGCACGGCGGGGTGGGGGGGACAGCCTCCCCCGGCAACCTCCCCCGCCCCCCGCCCCCCCCGCCCCTCCCAAGCGTGCGCACCTGCGTGAGCTCGGCGCCGGCTCCGCCCGCCGTCGCCGCGACCCGCCGGTCGATGATCTCCGCCGCCGCGAGGGGGATTTGGAACGCGCAGTCCGGATCGCCCTCCGCCTCCTCCTCCTCCTGCGAGGCCGGCGCCGGCCCCGCGCCGCACAGCAGCGACAGCGGCGTGACGCGCCGGCCCAGCGCCGCCAGCCGCTCCGTGCGCAGCGCCAGCTTCTCCTCGTGCAGCACGCGCGTGCGCATCAGCGCGCCCATCAGGCACTCGGCCAGCGAGAAGGCCCGCCGGCCCAGGCCGGGCCCGCCGGGCGGCGGCCTGGCGCGCGTGTCCCGGCCGGTGGCCATGATGGCGCCTGCGTGGCAGCGGGAGAGGAAGGAGGAGTCCGAGACCCGCTGGCGGGCCCAAGAAGCCGAAGGCGTCCGTCTAATCGCCTTTTTTGAAAAGCCCAAGAGCGAGGATTGGGATGGATGACAAGAGCCTTTGCCGTCGCAGCGCCAATGTCTTGGAACAATCTAGTTTCCCTCCCTTAACATCGTGAGTCTTCCTTCGAAACAAATCCTGAGGCAGAAGGTGAGCGCTGGATACAGTCACACATTTGCAAATGCCATTTGTAACTCTGACCCTTACCCCCTGTGCAGGTCTCGATAGCTCAGTGCTGATGTGCCGCATTATCGAGGCACTACTGCCGCTCTGCCGTGTTCTCTTGGCGCTGGTCTGGGACTCTTTTTCATTGTTGTTTTTTTTTATGCCTTTGCCGAATCTTGATGAATCGGACTTACACAATGAATGTATTTATTCTACATTCACATTTAGTGACTTGCTCACCATTGTGTCCGGTTTGCACTGCTCGCTGCAGTGCGAGTGACCACTCACCCATGACCTGCAGGAGGCTGCGGGCGGGGCCGGTGGGGGTGACCTTGCCCTGCGTCACCCACGCTGCCACCACCGCCACCATCTTCTCCACCTGAAGCAGCACTCGCTCCGGACACTCCTCACACACGGAGGAGGCGGAGGCCTGAGGGGCCGGCGTAGGGGAGATGAGGAGGAGCGAGGAAGGGGGCAGAGGGGGGAGTGGTGGGGGGGGGGAGAGTATCAACCCTTTGCTCTGCCGTGTTAAGCCTTTGCGCTGCTGTACTAACCCTTGCCCTGCTGTACTAACCCTTGTTCAGCCGTGTTAACCCTTGTTCTGCCGTGTTAACCCTTGCCCTGCTGTGCTAACCCTTGTTCAGCCGAGTTAACTCTTGTTCTGCTGTGTTAACCCTTGTTCAGCCGTGTTAACCCTTGTTCTGCTGTGTTAACCCTTGTTCAGCCGTGTTAACCCTTGTTCTGCCGTGTTAACCCTTGCCCTGCTGTGCTAACCGTTGTTCAGCCGAGTTAACTCTTGTTCTGCTGTGTTAACCCTTGTTCAGCCGTGTTAACCCTTGTTCAGCCGTGTTAACCCTTGTTCTGCCGTGTTAACCCTTGTTCAGCCGTGTTAACCCTTGTTCTGCAGTGTTAACCCTTGTTCAGCCATGTTAACCCTTGTTCAGCCGTGATAACCCTTGTTCTGCTGTGTTAACCCTTGTTCAGCCGTGATAACCCTTGTTCTGCCGTGTTAACCCTTGTTCTGCTGTGTTAACCCTTGTTCTGCCGTGTTAACCCTTGTTCTGCCGTGGTAACCCTTGTTCTGCCGTGTTAACCCTTGTTCTGCCGTGATAACCCTTGTTCTGCCGTGTTAACCCTTGTTCTGCCGTGTTAACCCTTGTTCTGCCGTGTTAACCCTTGTTCTGCCGTGTTAACCCTTGTTCTGCCGTGTTAACCCTTGTTCTGCCGTGTTAACCCTTGTTCTGCCGTGTTAACCCTTGTCCTGCCGTGTTAACCCTTGTTCTGCCGTGTTAACCCTTGTCCTGCCGTGTTAACCCTTGTTCTGCCGTGTTAACCCTTGTTCTGCCGTGTTAACCCTTGTTCTGCCATGATAACCCTTGCCCTGCCGTGTTAACCCTTGTCCTGCCGTGTTAACCCTTGTTCAGCCGTGTTAACCCTTGTTCTGCCGTGATAACCCTTGTTCTGCCGTGATAACCCTTGTTCTGCCGTGTTAACCCTTGTTCTGCCGTGTTAACCCTTGTTCTGACGTGTTAACCCTTGTTCTGCCGTGTTAACCCTTGTTCAGCCGTGTTAACCCTTGTTCTGCCGTGTTAATCCTTGTTCTGCCGTGTTAACCCTTGTTCTGCCGTGATAACCCTTGTTCTGCCGTGTTAACCCTTGTTCTGCCATGTTAACCCTTGTTCTGCCGTGTCAACCCTTGCCCTGCCGTGTTAACCCTTGTTCGTCCGTGATAACCCTTGTTCTGCCGTGATAACCCTTGTTCAGCCGTGTTAACCCTTGTTCTGCCGTGTTAACCCTTGTTCTGCTGTGTTAACCCTTGTTCTGCCATGTGAACCCTTGCCCTGCCGTGTTAACCCTTGTTCTGCCGTGTTAACCCTTGTTCTGCCGTGTTTACCCTTGTTCTGCCGTGTTAACCCTTGTTCTGCCGTGTTAACCCTTGCCCTGCCGTGTTAACCCTTGTTCTGCCGCGTCAACTCTTGTTCTGCCGTGCTAACCCTTGTTCTGCCGTGTTAACCCTTGTTCTGACGTGTTAACCCTTGTTCTGTCGTGTTTACCCTTGCCCTGCCGTGTTAACCCTTGTTCTGCCGCGTCAACCCTTGTTCTGCTGTGTTAACCCTTGTTCTGCCGTGTTAACCCTTGCCCTGCCGTGTTAACCCTTGTTCTGCCGCGTCAACCCTTGTTCTGCCGTGCTAACCCCCTTGCTCTGCTGACCTGTGTGGCGTTGATGCGGGCGCCGGACGAGGTGTAGGCGAGCGAGGCTGCCAGGCGGAACACATCCTCCATGCTCGCCACGGCCAGGCCGGCCAGCGCCAGGGTCGCGTTTCGCGCCACCTCCGCGTACGTGGCCACCGCCGCGGCATCTCCACCGCCGTCCACCTGCTAGCCACAACCCCCGCCCCCCCACCACCCGGCACGTCTAAAGTAAACTTTAACTAAACAATTATTTTTTTATTTTACCAGGGTAAGAAGGCCCCCAGTGAGCCACGCAGCTCTTTTCAGAAGCGACCCGGCCACTAATGATAGCTCGACGGAGTTGGCTGACCACCTGGACATTGATCGCAACCCAATACTCTGAACGCATTGGTGGCGATCTCCCGTTTACAGGCCTGAGCCAGCGGCGGAACTTTCCACATTCAGAGAGGCCCTCCACGACCCGTCCAGCGGCATTGCCTGCGATAAACGAAAACAAACCAATGGAAGCGGAGAGACGGAGGGCAGGGGGAGATTTGTGGCCTGGTTGCTAACCCTAACCTGACCCTAGGTTTACATAGGCCCCATAGACGCACATTATACACACCGCATCCTGTATATTTCCCCCCCACGGCTGTAGCAACGAGTCTAAAGCCACCTGACCCCAGTCTACCAGCGAACCTCGTGTTACCTCACGCTCGCCCGGCTGCGTGGCTCCGGCCGCGAAGCTGCGACTTAACGGTTGGTTACGCACGGCGCGAAATAAGCTCAACGCGCATACGGCGTCGGGCGTTGCATGGGGTGAGCTCCGCGTGGCGTCGCGTCCTCACCTGTCGCACCACGCTGAGCAGCGCGGTGGCGTAGAGCGTCACCTCGTAGGGGTCGCCCCTCTGCAGCGCCGCCTGCAGCTCCCAGCGGCTGCGGCTGGCGAGCCACGAGGGCAGTCCGTCCGGCGGCGCCGTCGGCAGCGCCACCTCCACGCTGCTGCTCCACGCACAGCGCAGGCACCACGAGCGGCCACCGCCCCGTCAGCTCTACCCACCACCCGTCAGCTCTACCCACCACCCGTCAGCTCTACCCACCACCTATCAGCTCTACCCACCAACTATCAGCTCTACCCACCACCCGTCAGCTCTACCCACCACCCATCAGCTCTACCCACCACCCATCAGCTCTACCCACCAACTATCAGCTCTACCCACCACCCATCAGCTCTACCCACCACCCATCAGCTCTACCCACCACCCATCAGCTCTACCCACCAACTATCAGCTCTACCCACCGCCCGTCAGCTCTACCCACCGCCCGTCAGCTCTACCCACCAACTATCAGCTCTACCCACCGCCAATCAGCTCTACCCACCAACTATCAGCACTACCCACCACCCATCAGCTCTACCCACCACCCGTCAGCTCTACCCACCACCCATCAGCTCTACCCACCACCCATCAGCTCTACCCACCAACTATCAGCTCTACCCACCACCCATCAGCTCTACCCACCACACATCAGCTCTACCCACCGCCCATCAGCTCTACCCACCAACTATCAGCTCTACCCACCAACTATCAGCTCTACCCACCACCCATCAGCTCTACCCACCACCCATCAGCTTTACCCACCACCCATCAGCTCTACCCACCACCCATCAGCTCTACCCACCACCCGTCAGCTCTACCCACCACCCATCAGCTCTACCCACCACCCATCAGCTCTACCCACCAACTATCAGCTCTACCCACCACCCATCAGCTCTACCCACCACACATCAGCTCTACCCACCGCCCATCAGCTCTACCCACCAACTATCAGCTCTACCCACCGCCCATCAGCTCTACCCACCAACTATCAGCTCTACCCACCACCCATCAGCTCTACCCACCGCCCATCAGCTCTACCCACCAACTATCAGCTCTACCCACCACCCATCAGCTCTACCCACCACCCATCAGCTCTACCCACCACCCGTCAGCTCTACCCACCACCCATCAGCTCTACCCACCACCCATCAGCTCTACCCACCACCCATCAGCTCATCCCACCACCCGTCAGCTCTACCCACCACCCATCAGCTCTACCCACCACCCATCAGCTCTACCCACCACCCGTCAGCTCTACCCACCACCCATCAGTTCTACCCACCACCCATTAGCTCATCCCACCACACATCAGCTCTATCCACCACCCGTCAGCTCTACCCACCACCCATCAGCTCTACCCACCACCCATCAGCTCTACCCACCACCCGTCAGCTCAACCCACCACCCATCAGCTCTACCCACCACCCGTCAGCTCTACCCACCGCCCGTCAGCTCTACCCACCAACTATCAAGCCCCACTACGATGATGATGATGTTGATGATGATTACAGGATGACCCTAGCAATCCGGGGTGGCTCCCCACCAGTTGAGGGCGAGAGCGCGGGCTCCCATCTGATCCTCCACCCACAGCTCCAGCCAATGGCGGGTGCCGGCGCCTGCACCGCCTCCCAGGGGCAGCAGCGCGCTCCACCGCGCCTTCACGCCGCGGTAGAGCGGCGTGTCCTGGCAGCCGCCGGATGGCGAGCACGCGGCCAGCACCAGCGTGTAGAGCACGGGGGCGCCGGCGTCTTCGGGGTCCCGCCAGTCTGATTCGCCAGCAGCACCGTTAGCACACCACGACAACAAGGCAGGAGACAAAGATCCCCCGTTTAGCCTGAACAGACTGCTGGGGCAAGTGCCGTTAGCGAGCGGCACCTGTTAAGGCCGGCACGGCACACGAGGGGGTGGGGTGGCCAGCACCACGCCCGACCGCCTTTGTCTCCCCGGTGGCCATGTTTACACACACGCACCAGGTACTCATTTGAAGCTGCGTCGACCCATGTGAGGCCCACGACCGGTTCTGATAACCGTCACCGATTGTGGGCCGTGAGCGGGAATCGAACTCGTGTCGCCGGGTTCGTAGCCACACCGCTCGCCGGAGACAGATCGGACCCACGCACGGTTTATCAATAAGCAACTTTATCACTTGACAGGCAAAGCCCACCGGGCTATTCGCTCGCCAGCTACGCTCGCCGGCAGGGCGACAGGCGAGGCGCGCGGCAAGCGGGCTCACCAACGCAGTCGTACTGCAGGCGCGTCTCCAGCACGGTGAGGGCGGCGTCCGGCGCCGGCGCCGGCATCAGCGTGGTCCGGCACTCTCCGCCCGCCGGCGGCCGGTTGGGCTCGAGCACCAGCGACGAGTTCCCGGCGGCGGAAGCGCCGCCGACGCCGCCCGGCGCCGCGGACACGGTGAGGACGAAGGTGTAGGCGAGGCCGTCGGCGAGAGCCCCGGCGCGCACCACCAGGTCCGGCAGGGCGTCCCCCGTGGAGGAGCGGTCCGAGCCGAGGGGCAGCACCGCCCCGTCGGAGTCCACCACCGTCCACCGGTACTGCAGCTGTGGGGCGGCGGAGGGGCAGTGTTGTACGCATGTACAATTTCTCCCGCACCGTACGTAGCCAACCGTGATAATCCGAGTGTATAGCAGTGTAGTGTATAGTAGTGTAGGGTATAGGAGTGTAATATTTAGTAGTGTAGTGTATAGTAGCGTAGAGTAGTATAGAGTAGTATAGTGTATAGTAGTGCATAGTCTAGTGTATTATGTAGTGTATAGTAGCGTAGTGTATAATAGTGTAGCGTAGAGTAGTGTAGTATATAGTAGTGTAGTGTATAGTCTAGTGTATTATGTAGTGTATAGTAGCGTAGTGTATAGTAGTGTAGTATATAGTAGTGTAGTGTATAGTCTAGTGTATTATGTAGTGTATAGTAGCGTAGTGTATAGTAGTGTAGTATATAGTAGTGTAGTGTGTTGTGTACAGTAGTGTAGTGTGTAGTAGTATGTATGTTGAACTTCTTTCGCACCGTACGTAGCCCACCGTGCTTATCGATTCATTCCGTCGTCAGCGGAATCGCGCGTTTCGTTATTTAAGACAGCGAGGGCCATTGTAACGTTCGCGGGCACGAGCATCTCCGCTCGCGCGATGCCACTGGGAGCGGGCCTCCGGCACGGCGCTGTGCTGCGCCAGCGGCAAAAGAGGTACCGGCGGTGGGAGCGGGGAGCGGTCGTCACCTGCGCGCCGGGGGCACAGTCGAGGCAGCGGCCGGACAGGGTGACCTGCTCGCTGCGGCTCACGGAGTAGCGCCCCAGAGCGTCGCACGACACGCACCGCACCGCCACGGACAGCGCCGGCCCCTCCAGCACCAGCACCTGCGAGAGCCGGCGGCGTGCGCGTCAGGGGTTATAAATGCCGCTTTAACATTTAAGAAAACAAAAACACACACACACACACCAAAGTGTATACACGAAACAAAGATGAAGCTCCCCCGTGTTAGCGAGTTTCCATGTCTAACTAACTAATTTAATTTTACCAGGTAAGGCCCACTGAGCTGGGTAGCTCTTTTTCAGAAGTGACCTGACAATCACAAATGATAACCCAACGAAGTGGCTTATCATCATCATCATCATCACCACGTAGAAATTTATAGCAGCCAAATACTCTTAAACGCGAGATGTCGATTCTAAAAGTGGAGGGAAAAACCGGAGGACCCAACATACAGCAGGCGTCAGGGTCGGGATCGAACCCACGACCTCCTGTATACCGGGCGAGGTAGCTAACATCTCGCAACCTTGTCGCCCCGGAATCCGGGGCAGAGTGGCCACGTGGAGCCTCACCGTCTGGTTGGCGCCGGCCTCCCCCTTGCCGGGCACCGCCTGCACGCGCAGCGTGATGACGTAGCTAGCGCCGGGGACCATGGCGGCGCCCGACACGTTGAGCAGGGGGCCCTGCGACCGGGACGAGAAGCAGCCCTGGGTGCCGGGGACCTGGCCGCAGGTGGGGAGGGGTGGGAGGGTCACGGGGGGAGGAAGGGGAGGGGGAGGTGTGTGGCACGCGGGGCGGAAGGGGCAAGGCGAGAGGGACACGTACACGTGGTTCGCACCTCGCAAATCCACCGGCGCATCCGGGTCGTGCCAGCCCGGCGCGGCTCTGGAGGCACCGGGTTGTTTTTTCGGACTGCAGAAAACTAAAAAGAAGCTACACATTCTTTTTGTATTTTACCCCGGTAAGGCTCCACTGAGCTACATTGCTCTTTTTCAGAAGCGACCTGGCCATCGCAAGTGATGGCTCAACGAAGCGGCTGATCGCCGTGTGGAAATTTACAGCGGCCAAACGCCCGCGTGAAAAACTGTAGGACTACCATGGAGAGTGAGAGAGACCTCCTGTATACCAGGCGAGGTGGTTAACATCTCCGCCGTGGCACCAAGCAGCACCAACGAGCGGAGGCGCACGCGCGGGCGCGGCGTCACCGCGCACGCGCGGGCGCGGTGACGCCGCGTCCCCACGGCGTGCCGACCGACGTCACGCGCGGTGGTTGCGCAATCTATCCAGCAGCCCCTGGCCCCGCTTGGCCGCGAGCCGGATTCCGACAGGCAGCGGTATAAGCGTGGTTTGGTTCCGGCTCGGCACAGCAAAACCAGCCGGTGGGAAAAAACAAAACACCCGTAACCGCGATGGCCCCGCGCTGGCTCGGCTCGGATGTTCCAATTATATTAAACCATCGCGCAAACTACGGTCGTTCTCGCAGCAGCAGCAGTAGCAGTAGCGGCGGCGGCTTTTGGCTAAGCCGTCAAGCAAAGACGGTGGTCACCGAATCACGCGGTGCTTTCGGATGCGCTTCTGCGGCCGTCTGGAACGTTCTTTCCTTCCGATATTAGGAAGCCGCCGGAGCTATGCACTTTCACATCACCTAAATGGAAAACGAATGTATTTAGAGCTGCTTCTTGTGTTAACTTTGTTGTCCTTCCCCCGCAACTCCCAGTAGCATGATTGGCTACGTACGGTTTGAAATAAGTTCGACACACACACAAACTACGATACACTACACTACTATACGCTACTCTACTATACAGTGCACCACACACTACACTTTACACTACTAAACTAGACACTACACTACTACACTATACACTACTATAAATTACTACACAATACACCACAATACACTACACTACTATACACCATACTACTATCCAATACACTGTAAACTACACGACTATACACTACACTGCACACTACACTATACACGACACTACTACATTATACACTACTATACTATACACACACTACAATACACCACACTAATATCCACTACACTATAGACAACACCACCGTACACGAATACAGCATACACTACTACACACTACACTATACACTACTACACACTACACTATTTACAGCAGCAAACACCGAGCTATAGCTGCCAGCGCCAGGGCAGGAACGAGGGCGCCTTCCGCTCACCTTGGGGGCGCAGTCCCAGCTGTAGACGAGGCCTGCTCCGTCTCCTCCCGCTCCGTCGGGGTCCCAGGAACCGCTCCCGTCCAGCAGGAGCCAGCCGTCGTGACGGGACCAGGTCCGGTTGGTGCCGCCGGCGATCACCGCCACGGGCCGGCTCGCCAGCGCGCTCACCGCCAGCGACACGGAGCGCGCCAGCCACGTGCCGCTCAGCCGCGCCGTGAACGACAGGCAGTAGTTTCCCGGCGCCAGCGAGCGGCCCGGCAGCACGAGCTGCGGGCGGCGGGCGTCCACCGACGCGTCGAGCGCCACCGTCGACGCCGTCGCGTTGGGCCGGGCGCAGTCCGCCGATCGGCGCACCTCCCACAGGTACTCGGCGCTGTAGCCCAGCTCCTCGCAGCCGCGCAGGTCCACCGTCACCTCGAAGTAGTTCTGCAGCGCCGCCACGACGGAGGGGCGCGGCGCGACGGGCGCCAGCGTCGGCGGGGAGCAGCCGAGCTCGACGACGCTCACGGCGATCTCGGCGCGCCCCTCGCTCACGTTGTTGGAGGCGGTGACGATGGCGCGGTACTCCCCGGCCTCCGTGTACGCGTGCGCCACGCGCGCCTGGGGCCCCCGCGTCCCCGTGCCGTCGCCGAACTCCCAACGGTAGAGCAGGTCCGAGCCGGACGTGCGGCGAGCCGCGAAGCCCACCGGCTCGCCCGCCAGCGCGTGCGGCGTCGCGTTGTGCCACAGCGACAGCGCCGACACGCGCTCCTGCACCGCCACGACGGCGCCCGCGCCCGCGCTGCTCAGCGCGTTGCTGGCGTTCACCAGCACCGTCAGCGCGCCGGGGATGCGCGGCGTGTACTGCGCGCTCTCCCCCACCGCCTCCTCCGCCTCGGCGCCGGCCATCTCGAAGCGCCAGCGGAAGGTGACGGGCGCGCCGGCGCTCACCGTGGCGCTGAACGAGGCCGGCGCGCCGCTGGGCAGCGCCGCGGGGCAGCAGTCGACGAGGACGAGGCCCCGCACGGCGTCGAGCACGGTGACGCTCACCAGGAAGCTCTGCGCGCTCACGTTGTTCCGCGCCGTCACGTTGCCCACGTAGACGCCCGGCTCGGTGAAGGCGTAGGCGTACGGCTCGCCCGGCGTCAGCGTCGCCACCTCGGCGACGCCGTCCACCGTGGTGGCCTGGCCGCCCGCGGTGAACGCGAGCGTGACGACGGCGGAGCGGCGAGCCGTCCGCAGGTCCGCCGTGAACACCACCGTCTGGCGCGTCGCCGCCGCCGTGGCGTTGGCGACGACGAGCAGGCCCGTGACGCGCTCCTGCGCCGTCACGTCGCGCGCCAGCACCTCGGAGCTCACCGCGTTCGAGGCATTCACCGTCACGGCGTAGACGCCCTCGGCGCCGAAGTTGTACAACAGCTCGGCGCCGTCGTCCATCGACATCTTCCCCGGGTTCGTTGGCACCGTCCACTGCCACGCCACGCTCGACCCGGAGCTCACGCTCCCCACCAGCCGTGCCGGCGCCCCCGCCTCGACGTAGAACGGCACCGCCGCGTCCGGCGTCGTCATCGCCAGGCCCCGCACGGGCTCCAGCACGTCCACCCGCACCGTGGCGTTCTCGCGGCCGAGCGGGTTCCACGCCACCACCGTCACCAGCGCCGGCCCCGCCGCCGCAAAGCTGCGCTCGAGCCGCGGGCTCGAACCCGTTTCCTCCGTCTCGTCGGCGGCGCCGGCGGAGACGAACCACGTGTAGGCGACGGCCGTGCCGCGTCGCACGCTGGCCGCCAGCGCTACGGCGGCGCCGACGGCGGCCGGGTTCGGCGCCGCCGCGACACTCAGGTCGGCGACGCGGTCCAGCGCGGTGAAGTTGAGCGTGGCGGTGAGGCTGCCGAGGCCGTTGCTGGCGCTCACCGCAACGGTGTGTTCGCCGGCCAGCGTGACTCTCCACAGCGACTCGCTCTGCTGCTGCTGCTGCTGCTGCTGCTGCTGCGGCAGCCGGGACCTGGCAGCCGTCTCGTTCGTCTCCACGCTCCTGCCCATGGCCAGGTACCGGAAGCTCCACGCGAAGCCGACGCCGCTGCCGGCTCCCACGAGCGCCCTGCACCGCAGAACCCGCCCCGTCTCCCAGTAGCGCCCGTCCGCCAGCCCGTCGCACGTCACCGTGAGGTTGGCGATCCGCTCCTCGGCGGACACGGTCACGGCGACCTCCTCCCGGCTCACCGCGTTCTCCGCCACGCACGTCACCGCGTGCGCCCCGGCCGTCGGGAAGGCCGTCTCAAACCGGGAGCCGGCGCCGGCGGGGGGCAGGCAGTCGCGGCACGACGCCCACGCGAACGCAACGTCGTCACCGGACTCGACAATCGCCGAGAAGGCGGCGGGGGTGACCGTCTCCACCGTCGCGGGGTCGGGGCCCACGATCGCAAGCCCGCTAACGGGCGCCAGCGCGGCGAGGTTGAGCCCGCCCACGGCGCTGCTCACGTCGTTGAAGACGGTGGCGGTGACGGCGTACGCCCCGCCGGTCGAGAAGGCGTGGGCGGCCGTGCCGTTGCCGCCGTGGCTCACGGCGCCGTCGCCGAAGTCCCAGGAGTATCGCGGCGCGGTGCCGGCGCTGGGGAGCGCGGCGAAGAGGTACGTGCGGTTGACGGCCACGTAGAGCGGGGCGGCGCCGTCCGCCGTCACCCGCACCATCCCCACCGCCTCCTGTACCTCGACCGGCGCCGTGGCGCCACCGGCGCTGACGCCGTTGCTGACGTTCACGGCGGCGGTGAACGCGCCGGTGCCGGCGTACACGTGCCGGAACGGAGGCGCCAGCAGGACCTCGGGGGCGGCGCCGTCGCCGAACCGGAAGGTGTAGGTGCAGCCCTCGCCGGGGGGTTCGACGGCGACGCTGAACTCCGTCGGCTGGCCCAGCCGCGAGACGGCGCCGCTCGTCACCGCCAGCTCCACGCGCGAGATGGCGCCCCGCACGCACACGACAAACTCCTGCCTATTGCTGGCGCCCGACAGGCTGCGGACCACGAGGGAGCCCGAGAAGTTGCCGGCGCCGGCGTAGGCGTGCTCCACCGCGGGGATGTCCACCCCCTCCGTCACGTCGCCGTCGCCGAAGTCCCAGCAGAAGGAGAGGTTCCGCGCGAAGGCGCTGACGCTCGTGGACAGGCTCACGTCGGCGCCGGCTGCCACGCACCCGGGTGGCACCAGGACGTCCGACGGCCGGAGCCGGTACACCCAAACCGTCGTGGCGCCCGTCACGGCGCCCAGCGCGTTGCTGGCGTTGGCGGTGACGCTGTGGGCTCCCTCGGCGGTGTAGTTGTGAGTCACCAGCGGCTCGCGCAGGTCCACGTACACGGTGCCGTCCCCCATGTCGAAGTCCCAGCGGTCGGCCGAGCCGGTCGCCAGCGTGGCGGCGACGGTGGCCAGGGAGCCCAGATCGACGGCGCCGGCGAGTACCGTCACGCCGGACAGCCGGCGCAGCGCCGTCACGTTGGCGCTCGCCTCCGCGTGGCTCACGCCATTGTCCGCGACCACGTGGACGGTGTAGGTGGCGTCGCCGGCGAAGGCGTGCGTCACCCTGCTGGCGCCATCCTGCACCGGCGGGCCGTCGCCCAAGTCCCACGCGTAGACGACGCGGTAGCCGCTGGGCACGGCCACCGCCTCAACGGTGACGGGAACGTCGGCTGGCACCACGCCGAGAGATGGTTCTCCTCCGGGAACGCCGGCGGCGGCGGCGGCGCCGGCGGGCAGCAGCCGGAGGAGCACGGCGGTCAGCGGCGAGCGCAGGTCGACGGTGCTGACCGTCTGGAGGTGCTCGCGGTCCGTGATCGCCTCCACGGAGAGGTTCACCGAGCCTGGCGCGAGCACACGCGCTGGCTTATGTAATTGACGCTACGAATGATTGGACGATCACAGTGGAGTCTCAGTGTGCGTACATGTGTGTGGGTGGAGCGGAGGTGTGGGGGTTAGCGCTACGCTGCGCTACGAACCCGGCGCCCCGAGTTCGATTCCCACTCACGGCCAACACCGGTGACGATTATCTGAAACGGTTCATGGCCTCCCCTAGGTCGACTCAGCCTCAAATGAGTACCCAGTGCGGTGTGTAAACATTGCCGCTCGGGAGACAAAGGCAGCCGGGCGTGGTGTTGGCTACCCACCAAATCGTGTGCCGTGCCGGCCTTCATAGCTACCGCTACTCGCTAACAGCACTTGCCCCAACAGTCTGTTAAGGCTATACGGGGGAGATGTCTTTGTTACGATTGGCGGTGTGGTGGTGCTGTGCGTGCGAGTGTATTCGCGTGCGGGGGCGCCGGTGCCGGCCTCACCAGCCTCCGTGTAGGTGTGCGTCACGTTGTGCTGCAGCAGGACCCGCTCCACGCCAGGCTCGGGCCTGGGCAGCCAGGCCTCGTATGGCGGACTGGCCCTCCACGTGGCGTTAGCGCTGCCGTCCCCAAAGCACCAACTGCAGGGACACATATTCGTAATAATAAAGTATTAAAAAACTAAACGATAAACAATTTTTGTTTGACCAGGTAAGGCCCACTGAGCTACATAGCTCTTTTTCAGAAGGGACCTGGCCATCACAAATGATAGCCCAATGAAAAAATACTCTAAACGTGTGACGTTGATTCTAAGTGTGGAGGGAAAAAAACGGAGGACCCAGAGAAAAATCCATATACAGCAGCAGCAGGTGTCAGGGTTGGGGATCGAACCCACGTCCTCCTGTATACCAGGCGAGGTAATTAACATTTCGCCACCGCGGCGCAAGATGTTAACTACCTTGCTATGTTTGGAGAGGCAAATATGGGACTGAGAGGCATTATATATGTTGCTGTTCATCCCGAAGCTCTCCTGGGAACAACAACAACAATGACACCCACCGGAAGAGGACCGCCACGTTGGCGTCCACCCTGACGGTGGCGGCCAGCTGGAGGCTGCCGTTGACGGGGAACACGGCGGGCACGTCCAGAATGGCGAGGGCGGCCAGGGGGTTCATGGTGTCCGCGTGGATCTCCGCCTCCACCCACTCGCGGCTCACCGCGTTCTCCGCCGTCACCTGGCTCGCCGGCGGACAAACCGAGGGTGGCGGTGCGGTGCGGTGCCCGCGTCAGCGCAGGTGGCGGTGGGGTGGTGGTGCAGTGGAGCGGTGGTGTGGTGAATCGGTGGTGTGGTTGAGCGGTGGTACGGCGAGGCGGTAGAGTGGTCAGATGCTTTGGCGGTGGTATGGTGGGGCGGTAGTGTGGTGGAGCGGTGCTGCGGTGGTGCGGCGAAGCGGTGGTGTGGTTGAGCGGTGGTACGGTGAAGCAGTAGGGCGGTGAGACGCTTTGGCGGTGAGCGGTTGAACAGGTGGTGCGGTGGTCCGGTGGTGCGTGGGGCTGTAGAGCTGTGGGACAGTGGTGCGGTGAGGCGGTGGTGTGGTCGGGCAGTGGGGCGGTGGTGTGATTGGCCGGTAGTGCGGTTGAACGGTGGTGCGGTGGTGCGGTGGTGCGGTGGACTCCGTTCCCGTTTTTGACGCACCTTGAGGCGGTAGACGGCGGGGCTGTGGAACACCAGGTTGTACTGCTGGCTGCTGTACGCAAAGACGGTGAGGCCGTCCAGCACCCAGGTGTACGTCACCGACGTCCCCTCCGCCACCCTCGCTGAGAACACCTGGGGGGCGGGGGGAGGGTGGAGAGGGTGGAGAGGGTGGAGAGGGGAGGGGAGGGAGAGGGGGAGGGAGGGGATGAGAGGGGGAGGGAGGGGAGGGGACGAGAGGGGGAGGAGGAGAGGAGAGGGGGAGCGAGGGGAGGGGAGGAGGGAGGCACATCTCAGGCAGGTGGACAGCTCCCACCGCACCCCCACCACCCCCAGTCATCGTCTTCGTCGCGCTGGGGCTTGAAGACAACGAGTAGGAATCGCAGAGAACGAGGAGCACCCGGAATTATCGATCATTTAACCGGCTGCCTGTGATCCGGCGCTGTGGAGGCAGTGGCGAGGGTCGGTGGATTGCACCCGGATTTTGGTGACACTCCCTCCCATTTACCCGTGGGTGGGCGTCAAGGAGGAGCCGTACCCCTGGCTCTACCAGGAGACATGACCACACGTGACCCCCCACATGACCTCACGTGACCCCCACGTGACCCTCACGTGGCCTCCACGTGACCCCCCTCATGACCCCACGTGACGCGTTATTTCACATGACCCCGCATGACTTCGCATGACACCGCGTGACCCCACGTGACCCCGTGTGACCCCCACGACCCCACAGGACGCAGCGCAAAGCCGCGCGGCGTACCAGCGTCACGTCGACGAGCACCCTCTGCGCGCCTCCGCCGCTGCCGGCGGGCAGCATGGTGAGCCCGGCGACGGGCTGCTCGGCCTGCACCGTCACGACGGCGCTCTCCTCGCTCAGCCCGTTGCTGGCGTTCGCCCGCAGCCAATACGTCCCCGCCTCCCGCACCGGCGCCCGCAGTGCCGCAAACTCGCCGCCGAGCCCGGCGCACGCCCGGGACGCCGTCGACGAGGCCGCCGCCGCCGCCGCGGTCGCCGCCGCGGGCGCCGCCGGCAGCTCGGCCGGGCACGCCGCGGAGAACGCCGCCGCGCCATCGCAGGCGCCGCGGGCGCGGTCGCCGCCGCTCAGGAGCCAGCGCAGGACGGCGCCCGACCCCGCGTCGACGCGAAACACGAACGGGGAGCTCGCCGACACGTTCACGTAGACGGCGCCGCTCGCCTTGGCCTGCGGGCTCGCCAGCCTCAGCCCCGACACCGGCGGCCGGAACTCCACCGTGCAGCCGGCGCCGCCGCCGGCGCCGTCGCCGACGGGGTTGCCGAGGCTCGCGTTGTAGGTGCGCGCGCCGGGCAGCGCGGCCGCCGACGCCAGCGCGGCGTCCAGGGAGGGCAGGCCGGCGCCGTCGGTGTAGAGCGCTCGCAGGTCGCAGGCGCAGTCGTCGCGCCGCAGCCAGGCGCCGGCGCCGTCGTCGGCGACGCCGGCCGACAGGTTCGCGGGCGCCCAGCCGGCGGAGCGGTCGAGGGTGAGGCAGGGCTGCCGCCAGGGAGACGGCGTGGCCGAGGCTGGGCAGTCGAGCAGAGGCGCGCCGGCGTCGTGCTGCAGCGCCAGCACGAGGTCCGGCGAGACTTCCAGTCCCGCGGGGCCCAGCACGATCTGGGGGGGGTGGTGGGGGGGGGGAAGCAACGCTGAGGGTGGGCTCGAGCGCTTGCGGCAATGGCGGCGGCGTTCGCGGTGGTGCTAGCGGTAGCGCCGTTACCGGTGGGCTGGTGCAGCGGTAATGTGGTGGTCACGTGACAGCTCGCAAGGTATACGAATGGAAGTTGTGCCACCCACCCATCCAAACCTACGCACCCACCCACACCCGAACCCGCCCACCCACCCAAACCCACCCATCCAACCATCCACACCAAAACCCAAAGACAAAGATCCCCCATATAGCCTTAATAGACTGTAGGGGCAAGTGCTGTTAGCGAGCACCTATAAAGGCCGGCACGGCAAACGAGGGGGTGGGTGGCCAGCACCACCTACCGATACCCACCGACCTAAAAACCCAACCGCGACACCACCCACCCAGCCACCCAACCATCCACGAACCCATCCACACCTAAACCCAACCACTACACCACCCGCCAACCCCTTCGCGTGCAGCGATTCGTGTTTGTGCCCGGCCCCGCGAGCGCGCACTCCCCTGCTGGGATCGCGGATTTTCCCGTCGTGTGCGCGAGGCTCGCGGCTCACATTCGCGTGCGCGGCCTCGCCGGCGTGCAGCAGAGCCACCACCTCCCGCACCACCTCGTAGGCCGGCGGAGTCCACCGCTGCGACGACGCCGCCGACGGAGCCGGCGGCGGCGGAGAGGTCGCGGCGGGAACGCTGGCGCCGCACGGCCGCCCCACGGGGACGCAGGCCGCCGACAAGCGGCACCACTGCAGGCCCGGCGGGCAAGGGCCCGCGGTCGCGTTGCAGGCGTCGGCGGCGTCAGCGACGCACGTGGAGAACGGGGACCAGGAGCGAGCGCAGCCTGCACACGCGGGGGGGGGGGAGAGAACGTTCACGCACTCGAACCCGTGCTATTATTATTGTTGTTGTTCTTGTTGTTGTCACCACGCTGGTTCACGAATGAACGCCTCAATCACCCCCTCCACCAACTCCTTCCCCCTCACTACCACCAGCTGCCCAATCACCCCCTCATTCCCCCTCACTACCACCAGCTGCCCAATCACCCCCTCCACCCCCTCATTCCCCCTCACTACCACCAGCTGCCCAATCACCCCCTCCACCAACTCCTTCCCCCTCACTACCACGAGCTGCCCAATCACCCCCTCCACCAACTCCTTCCCCCTCACTACCACGAGCTGCCCAATCACCCCCTCCACCAACTCCTTCCCCCTCACTACCACCAGCTGCCCAATCATCCCCTCCACCAACTCCTTCCCCCTCACTACCACGAGCTGCCCAATCACCCCCTCCACCAACTCCTTCCCCCTCACTACCACGAGCTGCCCAATCACCCCCTCCACCAACTCCTTCCCCCTCACTACCACCAGCTGCCCAATCACCCCCTCCACCAACTCCTTCCCCCTCACTACCACCAGCTGCCCAATCACCCCCTCCACCAACTCCTTCCCCCTCACTACCACGAGCTGCCCAATCACCCCTGTTGCTCAGTGTTACCCGGACGAGCTCCCCCCACCCCCCCGCCATGCGAGGCCTCCGTACCGGGGAGGGAGAGCGAGAGGCCCGGCCCGCAGTGCGGCCGCACGACCTGCAGCCGCAGCTGCACGGTGGAGCGGCGCTGCAGCACCGCCACCTCCAGCGATTGCACCACGCCGCGGTGCGCGAACCACAGCCCCGGGAACACCATCACCTTGGTGGGGGGGCAGCGGGTTCGGGGCGGCGCCGGGGCAGCACGGGGGGGGGGGGGGGGGGGAGCAAGCGCCGTTAGCGAGGCGCCTGCGAAAGGCCGGCACGGCGCGCGAGGGCACGGCGTGGTCATAGCCCCGCAACCGGGCCACCTTTATCCACCCAGTGCCGATGTTTAAACGCGCAACGTACCGGGGGCTCGTTTGAGGCTGAGTCGGACCTGAGGGGAGGGTCGACGTTGGCCGTGAGCAGGAATCGAACCTCGGGTCGCCGGGTTCGTAGCGCAGTGCGCTAACCGTTGCGCCACCGACCACTACGCACACTCATCACACGTGCGTGTGACCAGGAAGGTGACTAATATCTGCATTGGGCAGCTGGTGGTGAGCGGTAGCGTAGCGCTTAGCGCGCTGCTAACCCGGTGACTCGAGTTCGATTCCCGCTCACGGCCAACGCCGGTGATGATTATTATCTAAACCGGTCCTGGACTTCCCCTACGTCTACTCCGCCACAAATGAGTACCTGGTGCAGTGTGTAAACATCGCCGTTGGGGAGACAAAGGCGGCCGGGCGTTGCGACCTTCGTAGGCACTGCTACTCGCTGACAGCACTTGCCCCGACAGTCTGTTAAGGCTACGCGGGGGATCTTTGTCACAGTCACCACTCTCTCTCTCTCTCTCTAACCTGCACGCTGGAGGCCAGCGAGGGCGCTGGGTCCCCTGTCACGGTGACGTTGACGACGGGCAGGTGAGCGGAGAAGGCCGGGGACCCCAGCAGGAAGAATCGCACGTCCTCCACAAGCACTGGCGGAGCGGGGGGCGGGGGTGGCGACATCACCACGGCGTCAGGACAACCTCAAAGCGGCCGGCTTGACCGATGATCCCGTCACTCGCTCGCTCGCCGGCGGTCAGTTGGCTCCATACCGTGTTGTTGTATTGTTTGTTGTTGTAACGTTCTGACCCCGTGCCCCTACTGGACGTCTGTGAACAAGAGCTTTAAGGTTCATTCCTCCAGTATAAATACATACTCTGATTCTGATTCTATAGCTACCGCCCATGGTTACCTTTCACGTGAACTGCACTCGTTCCTTCAAACCGCGTGTGTTGAAGACTCCGTGTGTTCCCAGGCCTTATATGGGTTTTGCTCATTGATAGATGAATATGTATTACATAGCCACACACATACTTTACAGTACACAGGGTCGCCACTGTGGTTTTACATTGGGTTTCTTGTTGAAAGAGTGGTGAGCCGGAATCTTAGGCAATCCGGACTTTTCAGCTTTTTAGCTCGCCGGAGTTCTGAGCTCGGCGGACCAGGGCTCACCGTACGCGTCCGGCGGATCCGGGATTTTGCCGGCACGTTGTGAACGAGGTGCGCGACAAGCGGCGACCGCGGCGGCTCACCTCCCGGCTCGTAACGGCACACGTACGGCAGCACCTCGGTGCAGTTCTCCGTTCCCCAGCGGCCGTGCTGGCTCACGATGGCTCGCACGCACCGCCCGCCGGGGCCCGGGTCTGCAGGGGTCACGCACGTGGGGTCAAAAGGTCGCTCCCCCAACCACCCCGCTCCACCCCCCCCACTCCCCGACGTTAGCCACGTACACGAGTTCAGAGACGTCACGCTGACAGTTCAGAACACAGTGGGAGAGTCAGCAGGAGGCTTGGGCAGGACGCGTCACGGTGGGCGGCCGTAGAGACTATCGCCGGAGAGAACGCGCAGCAGAAGAAAACGTTGCACAGCAGCCAAAGGTCGCGACCACCTCCATCGTCGCCATCACCAATAACAGCACCATCGCTGCCACCGTCATCGACACCACCCAACCATCACTACCACCAACAACAACAACAACAGCCGTCATTCGCCACTAAGTCCCGGTGACGTCACCACGGTGCACTTTGAGGCTACGTAAAGTGTGGAAGACTCGCTGCTGGCTAGAGGTCACGGTACAGACCCAGGTGTTACGGGTCGATTACCGAGATGACCGGGACGTGCACCACCCGTGCTCCTCACTGTGCCAATTTGCCGCATTTTAGTTACCCGACGCTTTGCTTGCTGTGAGCGCCGCTCTTCCACCCTTGCACCACCATCACCATCGCCGTTACACCAGTCACCACCATTACCACCACCACCATCACCGCCACCACCACCGCCGTCACTCATCATCAATACCCCTGCCGCCACCACCACACCATCGCCACCAACACCACCGCCACCATTACCGGCGCCGCCGCAGGGTGGTACGTTCACGCGAGCGGCACCCCACCTCGAAGCATGCTGGGCTCGCCGGTCGCCCACACCTCGAACCGCTCGGGCGTGCGGGCGTCCACCCACAGCAGGGTGCCCGGAGACTCCGTATCGCTCAAGCCCAGCCACACACTCGAGCTGCTGTCACAGGTGGCACAGACAAAGATCCCCCTTGTAGCCTACACGGGCTGTTGGAACAAGTACTGAAACATTGTAAGGTCGCACTCATTACACACAAAGTGTTTGCCACAAGTGAGCCACAATCACCTCGCTGCTGATCTCGTCAAGGAGAATAAATGATCATCACGGGACACTCCGCTCATGCTCGGAGCAGAAGCAGCAGCAGCAGCGGTGGCTTTTGGCTGCTCAGCCGTCGAGCAAAGACGGCGTGGCGCTTTCAGATGCACTTCCGCGGCCGTCTGGAACGCTCTTCCGTCTGATGTTAGGCAGCCACTGGGGCTATGCAACTTTTACATCATCATCTAGATCAGGGATGGGGAACCTTTTTTCTGCCAAGGGCCAATTGGATATTTATAACATCATTAGAGGGCCATAACAAAAATAAATTTATGTTGCTACGAAAAAAGCTCCTAGATTTATTGAATTTCGAGTCGTGCGGTTGCCTTGGCAGGGCCAGACCAAATTATTTCATACGGCCCGCAGGCCGGACGTTCCCCATCGACAAACTAATTTCTTTAGAACTGCTTTTTGTTGCGTTTAGTTTGTCGTCCTTCACCCGCACCTCCGATGAGCACGATTGGCTATGTACGGTGCGAATGAAGTTCAACATGCACACGATGAGGGTGGGTGGTCAACATCACACACGGCCGACTTTTGTCTCCCAAGTGCCGATGTTTACACATCGCACCGGGTACTAATTTAAGGCTGAGTTGACCTAGGGGAAGCCCAGGACTGGTTCAGAATCGTCACTGGTGTTGGCCGCGAGTGGGAAATGAACTCGGGTCGCCAGGTTCATAGCGTAGTGCGCTAATCAGACACGCACACACGGGAAGTTGACCTGCAGCATCGTTGAGTTATCGTTAGGTGATGCCCAGGTCGCTTACCTTGTGAAATAACAAAAGAATGTTTAAACAGTTTAAACATTGGGATGTTTGGCCATGGATTCCGCGACTGAGCCCTTGGCTTTGCGTGGGAGGAGACCATTTGGCGGGGCGTGCGCTCGCGAGTTTCGCACGAACGTGCCGGAGAACCCCGCCAACGCTCGCAACGGCGACGCCAAATCACAGCGCCCTTGCGAGCCTGGCGGCGCTCCGCACGATCCCGCGTTCGGCACGACCGCCCTCCCCCCCCCACAGACCTGTTTGAGAGCGCCGTCACCAGACGCTGCGTGGCGTCGTCGGCGACGACCGCGAGGTCCCCGCCGGGGCTCCGCCGGCAGTGGGCTCGGGCGTCGTGCCAGCTCGCCGGCGCGGTCACCAGCAGGTAGCACGGCCGCCCCCCCTCGGCGTCGGCGGGGTCGTTGCTCGCGCGGCCCCCCGCGGGGCACGCCGGAGCGTCTGCGGCGACGGCGACACAACGGCACCGGTGGTTTTTGGGGGTTAGGTGGCGGTGTGCGTGTCAATGTGTGTGACTGGCTCCAGTTTAACAGCAGAGGTCTCACTCCGAATCAGTCGAGCGGCAATATCTTTTCATCGGTTGCGTAACGCTGTGTGGAAGCTACCTGGTCTGTCGCTCCGCACTAAGCTTCAGGTCTTCTCGGCCACGGTCATTCCCTCCCTTCTCTACGCTTGCAAAACGTGGACCCCCCTGGTGGAACATCTTCGCCGGTTAGAAACATTTAGGCTGGCCTGCCTACGATCCATCCTGGGTTTAACCAGACTGGATTGTGTGAGGAGCTCACAAATCCTTGAAAGATCTGGGCAGGGTCCCATCGGTGAGCTCCTCCGGCAGGCAAGGCTGCGATGGCTGGGTCATGTAGCCCGCATGCCCAGCCACCGCATGCCGAAACAGCTTTTGTTTGGCCGGATTGAGGGGGCTAAGCGGGCGCGGCACGGGCTAGAGAAGAGATGGAGTGATGTGGTACAGGAGGACGTGGAGCTGAGTGGACTTGCCGATGACTGGTACCAGCGGTGTCAAGATCGGCCTCTGTGGAGGAGGCTCGTGAAGGATGCTACTGGGCAGTTGGAGGCAGTCGCCCTCCAACAACAACGGAGGGCGGAGGAGCGACGCTCACAACAACGAGCGGAACGCCGGGTGGCTAAAGCACAGCAGGTGGGCACAGTAGGGGGCACAGGTGGTGCATCAGCCAGTCATCTCAGTCAGTCGACCCGTGGCACCTGGGTCTGCCCAGTGACCTCCTGCCAGCGGGCGTTCGACACTTTACGTGGCCTCACGGTGCACATAGCCTGGCACAAGCGTCGTGGTGACGTCACCGCCACTTAGTGGCGAATGGCGGTTGTTGTTGTTGTTGTTGTGGGGAGCGGTGGTGTAGCGGTTAGCGCGCTGCGTTACAACCTCGGCGACCCGGGTTCGATTCCCGCTCACGGCCAACACCGGTGACGGCTATCTGAACCGGTCCTGGGCCGCCCCAAGGTCTCAACCTCAAATGAGTACATGGCGCGATGTGTAAACATGGCCACTGGGGAGACAAAGGCGGCCGGGCGTGGTGCTGGCCACCCACCCCCTCGTGTGCCGTGCCGGCCATCACAGGTGCCACTCGCTAACAGCACTTGCCCCAACAGTCTGCTAAGGCTATACGGGGGATCTTCTTTGGTTCTTTCGGTAAAGTCACCTCCAGTGCTGTCCTACCAGACAGTCTCGTCCCTTCACCTGATGAAGGCCGCTTGTGTTGTGGCCGAAACGTCGTGAGAATATTATTGTGTTATTTTATTTTATCAATTTATTATTTTATTCTCATTCTACGTGACTTTACCGAAAGAACCAAAGAAGATGAATCATTGCAGTCACGAAAGCTTTAAATCGAAATCTATACGGGGGATCTTTGTCTTTGATCACCACGTCACTGACGCAGGGCGACGGGGGCCCTGCACCAAACCAAGATCATATTCTTGGTTTCTTACCGATTTTTGGTCAGTGAAATACACGGCGGCCTGACGCTCGCGGTGATCGTAGCGGGGGGCCGGGGGGGGGGGGAATAGGGGGTAAGGAGAGGGGGGGGTGGGGAGAGGGGGGCAACCTTTAAAAAGGTCTAACACAGTTGCCGGGCGACGGGTCGTATCCTAGCGAGGTAAAGACGCCACCGTCCAGCCCTCCTCCGTCCCCTTTATAAAATTCGACGGCCCCCTCAACGGAGCCGGAGCCGGGGGGGCGGGGGGCGGGGGGCAGAGGTCGCGTGTAACAATAAAATTCTCACGACGTTTCGACTGTAACACAAACAGTCGTCATCAGGTGTGAAAACCCAACGGCAAGAAGCATTTGAAAGAAGTGGCGGTTTGTATTTATTTATTTTTAAACGTTGCTTTTTATTTATTTTTAAACGGTGTTTGTGTTTATTTATTTTTAAAAACGTCGGCACCACGGATAGCGATTTGACAGTTTGTTTAGAAGGACGAGTCCATCTATGTTCGGAAAAGAGGAGGGGGGAGACGAAAAATTAATGTATGCTGTCTGAAAGCCACCGTAAGCGTGAACAATCAATTAAGACCCGAAATGGTTTATCAAATCCTTCCAATGATTGCTAAGCCAGAATCCATCTTCTCGGTTGAAATTGTTTCTGTGTTTGTATATGTGGATAGCCTCATGAACGAATCTCTCATGGTAGCCCGATGGCTTACAAACTGACACTTCTTTCAAATGCTTCTTGCCGTTGGGTTTTCACACCTGATGATGACTGTTTGTGTTACAGTCGAAACGTCGTGAGAATTTTATTGTTTTATATATTTTATTATTTTATTGTTTCCCTTCAACGTGACTTTACCGAAAGAACCAAGAATATGAATCACTGCAGTCACGAAAGCTTTAAATCAAAAATCAAACCAAGATCGTCCGTGCCAGGGCTGTTCAAGACTTCTATAAACTAAAACAATTTCGATAACGTCCATTTATTTATTTATTTCACCAGGTAAGGCCCCGCTGAGCTACGTAGTTCTTTTTCAGAAGCGACCCAACCACAAACGATAGCCCGACGAAGCGGCTGATCACGTGGAAATTAACAGCAGCCAAACACTCTAAACGCATTGGCGCCAACCTCCCGCTTACAGTACCTGAGCGCCAGCGGTGGAAATTCCACATTCCTATGGCTGGGGGTCGAAGCCCTCCATTGGAAAACCGCTGTTGATTTCCAAAGTTGCTGCTCCGTTTGTCAACCCTCGGAGAGAGGGATGATTTGGCTGAGCCAGCCGGAATCCGGGATTTGAACTCCGCCGCCTTCCCATTGCGAGCCGCTCGCTGTCACGCCGAGCCGCCCTGGGCCGCATTGACGGCGATGAACAAAAAACTAAAACATTTTTTTATGGAAGTGGAGAGACGGAGGGCGAGGGGGAAGCGCAGAGAGGCCGGCATCGGCATGGATGTACCTGTGCGCACCTACTGGACATCTGTGAAAAAGAGCTTTATAGCTCATCGGATTCCTCCAGGAGAAATAAATATTCTGATTCTGGATGTACGGTGCCGGTCGCACGCGTTGCCCACAAGGTGCTCGCCACAAGTGAGCCACGAATCCTCGCTGCTGATCTCGTCAAGGAAAATGAGCCACCATCACGCAAACTCCGCTCATCCTCGCAGCGGTCAAACAAAGACGATGGTCACCGCATCGCGCGGCGCTTTCAGATGCGTTTCTGCGGCCGTCTGGAACGCTCTTCCTTCTGATATCAGGAAGCCACTGGAGCTGTGCACTTTTAAATATTTTCTCTACAACTGCTTTTTATGTTTAGTTTATTGTCCGCCCCCCCCACCCCCACGCGCACCTCCGATTAGCACGGTTGGCTACGTACGGTGCGAAATAAGTTGAACATACATACAGGACCCACCTTTGTGACCTTGACTTAAAATCCAATCTCACGTGACTTGATGTAAAGACATCGCGCCCTGTTCATCCATAAAATCCTCATTGGGAAATCTGCGCGACACTCAGCTAATTCATTAACCCCCTTCGTCAAGCCCGAGAAAACCCAAGACGCCCAACTAATTGCCTTTTAACTATCCCGAGAACAAGAACAGGAGCGGGTGACGAAGCCCCTTTGCCGTTGCAGCGCCGGCGTTTGGCAACAACCTCGTGTTCTCCCTTTACCATATCCAGGATAAATACTGAACACCGATTCCGATCCTGGAGGCACGCAAACGACAGGGCCCGCCGCCAGCCAGGGGGGTGAAGGAATGCGCGCGCGCGTGTGAATCATCGCCGCTCGTGACGTAACGCACCTCCGGAGGAGGCAGCCCGCCCACGCACCCCCCCGGGCCAGCGATGATAAGCCTGCCGCTAGCGCCCCCCTCTCCACCCACACCCCAACGCCGCACCCCGCCAGCCCCGACGGCACCGCTTCACGCAATACGTCCCCCGGCGTTGCTCCGTCGGCACGGCGCGTGCCGTGGGCTCTCTTCTCTGCGGTGGCCGGTCGTGTCAACGGTGCGGAGCGGCGGCTGAGGTGGTCGACGAGGCCAGATGATTGCGGAATCAGGAGTAGTGGAGTGGTAAATCGTCGCTGTGATGATGTCTTCTCCTTCGTGTATATCTCTACTGTGTGAGTCTATGGGTCTCTGTGTGAGTCTATGGTTCTCTGCGTGAGTCTATGGTTCTCTCCGTGAGTCTATGGGTCTCTGTGATAGTCTATGGGTCTCTGTGATAGTCTATGGGGTCTCTGTGGGAATCTGTAAATCTCTGTGTGAGTCTATGATTCTCTGTATTAGTCTTTGGGTATCCGTGTGAATATGTAGAAATCTGTGTGAGTCTATACGTCTCCGTGTGAGTCGATGGGTCTCGATGTGAATCTATATATCTTTGTGTGAGTCTATGGGTATCTGTGTGAGTCGATGGGTCTCGGTGTGAATCTGTAGATCTCTGTGTGAGTCTGTGGGTTTCGGCGTAGCGCAACAGCTGTGAATTTACACCAAGATGTTTGAGCCTGCTGCTTGCGTCACGAGTAGCAGGATAGTGAATCGCCGTACCAATGGCTAAGCGCGTTCATTAGCAACATTCCACCGGAACCGCTTCCGGCAACTGGGAACCGGTTCCCAAAACTCTACCACGCGGGTTTCAGCACGGACAGCGCCATACACATATTCTCCAGAGCGGCACGGTTGGCTACATGCGGCGCGACGGAAGTTAAACGTACGCATGTGCACGCACTCTCTGTCTCTTCCCTCGCCCCTCCACTTCCTTTCCTTCCCTCCCCTGACCTCTGGTGACCCCTAGGCACCCTCCGACAGGGCCAACCACTCCCCCCAGCCCTTGCCCTCCACAGCCGCCGCCACCGAAATAACGATCTCATCGCGCCGTCCGTGGAGCCGCGCTAAGGCGCCTTGAGAACGAGGGCACTCCACGAATGTCAAGCAATGATATCCGCCGCTTAACGGCCGCACTCCTTAAGATCCCCCCCGGTGCTCCGAGTTACCGCGGCGGGCAGCAGCGGTGGGTCACCGGCGCTCAACTCGCACCAAGCCCTCGTTTCTTACCGATTTTTGGTCTGCGAATACACGGCGGCCTGACGCTCGCGGTGATCGTAGCGGGGGGCCGGGGGGGGGGGGAATGGGGGGTAAGGAGAGGGGGGGGGGGTGGGGAGAGGGGGGCAACCTTTAAAAAGGTCTAACACAGTTGCCGGGCGACGGGCTGTATCCTAGCGAGGTAAAGACGCCACCGTCCAGCCCTCCTCCGTCCCCTTTATAAAATTCGACGGCCCCCTCAACGGAGCCGGAGCCAGGGGGGCGGGGGGCAGAGGTCGCGTGTAAATCTGCCCAATAAAAGACTTCCCGGACACTGACAGAAACGTGCCCCCCCCCCACCACCCCTCCCGTGGGGGGCGTCGCTCGCTCGGCATCCCAAGGGACCAGAATGGCGAGCGGAGGACACAATAAATAAATAAATAAAGGGATCCGCCTCCGGGCCCCCGCACTCCCCCGCCCGCCCGCCCCCTATGTGCCATATTTGCCTCTCCACAATCCGGCATTGGAGCGCGAGCGGCAATCGTAACTTCCCAATGTAGCAGCAGCAGCAATATCCCTCCTGAAAACTCCTGGACAGGTGTGAAAGCAAGCTTCACAGCTCATCGGAGTCCTCTAGTTTACGTAAATATTCTCATCCCGAATCTGAAGTCCTGAGACTCGGCGAGGCTTTGGTGGGTAAATAATAAAGCCGGGCAGTGGCCGTGGGGGCCGCGGTTGCAAAATGTTAACTACCTCGCCTGGTATACAGGCGATCGTGGGTTCGATCTCGACCCTGACGCCTGCTGTATATTTGGAGCTGACGTCTCTCTCTCTCTCTCTCATCATCATGGTGGCTAGGAAATGTTAACTACCTCGCCTGGTATACAGGCGATCGTGGGTTCGATCTCGACCCTGACGTCTGCTGTATATTTGGAGCTGACGTCTCTCTCTCTCTCTCATCATCATGGTGGCTAGGAAATGTTAACTACCTCGCCTGGTATACAGGCGATCGTGGGTTCGATCTCGACCCTGACGCCTGCTGTATATTTGGAGCTGACGTCTCTCTCTCTCTCTCATCATCATGGTGGCTAGGAAATGTTAACTACCTCGCCCGGTATGCAGGCGATCGTGGGTTCGATCTCGACCCTCACGCCTGCTGTATATTTGGAGTTTGCGGTGTCTCTCTCCCCGTTTAGAGTATTTGGCTGCTATAAATGTCCACACGATGATGAGCCACTTCGTTGAGCTATCATTTGTGGCCAGGTCGCTTCTGACAAAAGAGCTGTATAGCCCAGTGGGCCTTACCTGGTAAAATAAATGATGGTTTAATTTATTTACTTTAGTTCAACGGTTTTAATTTACAGATTTCGTTGGGACGTGCGAGTGGACACAGCGCCATCGCCGATGCCGCACGGCGACAGACGCGAGCACGTGGCAACGGTTGAGATGCGAGCGGTGGTGAGTGTGGAACATTCAGATTGGCCAATGAGGACGTTCTCCAAAGACGTGGGTGCTGCACAAGCAAAGGCCCCTGGGACAGAGAAAGCGGGGAAAGCGGCCACCAACAATTACCCAAGCTTTGTGGTCCTATATATCGGGACGCTTGGCCATCGACGGGACCCACGCTGCCCCGACCCACGCGACACACCACGCACGACACGGGCACAGATCCCCCCCCCCCCCCGTGTCGCCTTCAACAGACCGTTGGGGCGAGCGCTGTTCGTGAGCAGCACCTACGATGGCCGGCACGGCACACGAGGGCATGGGTGGCCAGCCTTTGTCTCCCCAGTGGGTGGCAATGTTTACTACACACCACACCGGGTACTCAATTGAGACCGAGTCTATATAGGGGGGGGGGGGGGGGGCGGTCCAGGGCCGGTTAAGATATTCGCCGCAGCGCAGCCCGCGCTAACCGCTGCGCCGCCGCTCCCCACGTTGCGCGCCGTAGCCGCTTGTTTGCCCACTCTGCACATGCACGGTGCTGAACTGCTGAACTCGGAAGCCTTCGGATGTAAAGAAAAAAGGAGAGAGCGAGTGGAGTCGAGGAAAGAAAAGCAGCGACGACGACGACGACGACGACAACAAAAAAAACCCCCAGAGTTAACGGGGAAGAGCGAACGAGCGGGCGTCTCCCTCGCTCCGTAGCCGTGGCGACGCAAGCTCGTCGCACGACAACACACACACACACACACAGCGCGCGTCCCCCACTCGCGCTGCGTGGACAGAGGGGGATGAGATGCGCGGGGGGGGGGGATTGGGGCAGCATTTGTCAGCGCTAACTCGGGTTGCCGCGTGATGGCGTGACTACGACACGGCATCCGATACACGCGCGCGTGGTGCATGTGCGCGTTCATGCATTATGGATAGGCGCCGTGCGCGTGTGTTCGACGCAGTTCCTGAGCACAGGCCCGGGGAGGAACAAAATGTCAAGCGGCACGCAGCGAACGACGCGATCGGAGTTCAAATGGCTTCAGGGTTTCTTCACGTGGTTCTTAGAGGTTTTGAAAAGGAGAGGATGCCGTGAGGGGAGCAGCGCGAGGGAAGAGGCAGACAGAGAGGCGAGGTGACCTGCAGCGTGGCGAGTGGGTGAGTGAGTGGGTGGTTGGGTGGGTGGGTGGCTGGGTGGGTGGGTGAGTCACTGACTGAGCGCGTGAGTGTGTGGACGAGTGTGTTGTTGTGACCTGCAGTATCGTGAGTGTGAATGAGTGAGTGAGAGAATGTGTGTGTATGCGAGTGACGCTCACAACAATGAGCAGAGCGCCGGGCGGATAAAACGTGCCAAGGTTGCGCAGGAGGAAGCAGAGGTGGTGCATCTGTCAGTCATCTCCGTTAGTCAACCCATGGCACCCGGGTTTGTTCCATGACCTCCTGCACCTAGCCTGGCACAGAAGTCAACCCCATGGCACCTGGGTCTGTCCCATGACCTCCTGCCTGCAGAGAGCCTTCTACACTTCACATGGCCTCAAGGTGCACCTAGGCTGGCACAAGCGGTGTGGTGACGTCGCCGCCACTTAGTAGTGAAGGTCGGTTGTCGTCGTTGTTGTAGTATGTGTGTTGCGCGTGTGTGCGCGTGTGTGTGTGTTGTGCGTGTTGCGCGTGTGTGCGTGTGTGTGTGCGTGTGTGTTGCGCGTGTGTGTGCGTGTGTGTGTGTTGTGCGTGTGTGTGTGTGCGTGTGTTGTGCGTGTGTGTTGCGCGCGTGTGTGTGTGTGTGTTGTGCGTGTGTGTCGAGTGCACTTTGCTGGGGAAGTGCCCTGCCACCTTGCGCAAACGATGCCTTCCCATTTGTCACTGGTGTAAAACGTGACACGCGGAGCGCAGCCAGGGCAGCTGGGGAGGCGTGCGGGTGGGTGGGGGCAGCAGCTGTGTTAACAACGGTCGGCGGACACACCGACGCACAAGACAAAGATCCCCAGCGCAGTCTCTAATGGAATGTTGAGGCAGGTGCCGTTGGCAAGTAGCGCCCACGAACGCCGCGCCCGTGGCCGCGAACAAGCGCCGTGACCTGTGGCGCCAGCAGAACGGGAGAGCGGTGACTCACCGTGGCGGACGGTGCCGTCCGGCTCCCTCACGGACCAACGAGCCCTCACGCTGGTGCCGCTCCGGCTCACGGCCGCCACGCCGCCTCCGCCCCCGGTCAGCGCCGCCTTGGGGCACCGCAACTCCGGCGGCAGCAGCACCGGCATCGCCACCGTCACGTTGGCCGCGGCGCCGGCTGTCGCCGTCGGCCCGCCGCCTCCGCCGCTCACGCTCGCCGTCACGGCGTAGGTGCCGGGCAGCGCGAACTTGTGTCGCGCGGCGTCGCCGCCGGCGACGTCCAGCGGCGCCGCGCCGTCGCCGAAGTCCCAGCGGACGCGCCAGCCGGCGCCGGGGTCGTACCAGGGCGCGACGCGAAACTCGGCCGCCTCGAAGACGCTGAACGGGCGCAGGCGGAGGAAGGTCGCGCCGAAGCGGACGGGCGCCGGCGGCGCCACCACGACGCGACCGCACACGGCGCGGCTCGCCGGGTAGCCCGCCGAGCAGACGGCGGCGCAGTCGAGCGCCGGCGAGCCGCCCGCGTCGCCGCACAGGCACAGGTAGTTCAGCGCCGGGTCGGAGGAGAAGTAGGCGAGGCGGCGGCGGGCGCACGCGACGTTGCAGCCGAGCTCGTCGTGCGCGTCCTCGTCCACGGCCGAGAAGATGAGCGTTGAGGCCGGGCGCAAGCAGGCAACGTAGTCGGCAGCTGGGCGTGAAGTGGGAGGGTCGGGGGGAAACGACGCGGGTGAGACCACCACCATCATCATCACCATCATCATCATCATCGCTATCGACGTGATCGTCGTCGGCGTCGTCATCACGTTCGTGACGACGCCGTGGCCCAGCGGTTGGTGTCATCATCATCATCATCGCCACGCAGCATCGTCACGGACAGCATCGTTACACGCAGCATTGCTAGACCATCGTCACACACAGCATCACTACACACAGCGTCACTACACACAGCATCGCTGCACGCACCATCGTCATGCACAGCATCGCAAGATGCAGCGTCACCGCACGCAGCGTCGCTACATGCAGCGTCGTCAAAGACAGCATCGTCATGCACAGCATCGTCAAAGACAGCATCGTCATGCACAGCATCGTCAAAGACAGCATCGTCAAAGACAGCATCGTCAAAGACAGCATCGTCATGCACAGCATCGTCGCGCGCCGCATCCGTGCTGTTTGTTGCCGTGCGTTATTGTACGCGGCGAGCGTGCCGTGGCCCGTGCGGTGGCTGCGCGGCGAGCGTTGCGCCGGCGTCCCTTCCGGGGCGGCACCTACCGCAGACGGCGCTCGAGAAGTTGGCGGCGGTGACGGGCGTGCGGGCGAGGCGGTCGGGCAGGGCGCACAGCGAGCGCAACGGCCGTGCCAGCGCCACGCTGCCGGCGCGCGCCGGCGCCGCCAGCCACTGCGGCAGCCACGCCAGCTCACAGCCGCAGTCCAGCGGATTCCCGCTCACGTCCCTGTGAGCGCGAGACAAAGGCGAAGATCCCCCAACCCCCCAACCCGTAGCCTTAACAAAGTGTCGGGGCAAGTGCTGTTAGCGTGAGCATCCACAAAGGCCCGACAGAGCGCACGAAGAGGGTGGGTGGCCAGCACCGGCGCTGATGTTTACACGCCGTGGCAGGTACTCATTTAAGGCTGAGTCCGTCTAGGTGTGGCCCAGTGCCGCTTCAAATATTCGCCACGGTTATTAGTGGCCAGCGGAAATCGAACTTGGGTGGTCGGGTTCGTAGCGCAGTGCACTAACCACGAGGCTACTGTTTCCTACTCACTCACTCACCCACTGAGTTAGCCACTGATTCACTCATGCACTCTAACTCGCTAAACTAAACTTTTTATTTAACCAGGTAAGGCCTCCTGAGCTACATAGCTCTTTTTCAGAAGCAAGCTGGCCACAAATTATATCTCAACGAAGTGGCTTATCATGTGGACATGTTTCGCAGCCAAATACTCTAAACGCGTGACGTTGATTCTAAAGGTGGAGGGAAAACCCTGAGGACACGGAGAATAATCCAAGCGACTACAGGGAGAGAGAGAGAGAATGCAAACTCCAAATATACAACAGGCATCAGGGTCGGGATCAAACCCACGACCTTCTGCATACCAGGCGAGGTAGTTAACATCTCGCCACTGTGCCGTCCCCACTCACACTCTTTCCTCGCACTGCTCCACCGTGGAATCATCTCCCATCATGTCTCTTACCCCCAAAGCCCTTGCGACAACAACCTTGACCCATTCAAGAAACGTGCGGCACTCCGACCGGCTACATCTCTGGCGGTGCTGTTTGTTGCTGGGCGTCTGACGTTTTGGGCCTGTGCTCAGCAACTGAGTTCATAGATATACAATGCGTGTGTGTTTATCTAAGGAAATGTGCTCGCAATGAAATCACTCGGCAGGGGATTGGTGGAGTCACACAGAGGCCAGAGTCCTCGACGCGACTTACAGCACAGCGAGGCTGGTGAGGTTATCGAAGACGCCGTTGGGCAGCGTGCCGATCTGATTGTCGCTCAGATCCCTGCGGGAGAAGGAGACGCGACGTCCGATAAAACGACGACGTAGAAGGCAGACCCGGCCGGCGCGCTAACCCGCTACGCAGCCACGCTCGCTCGCTCGCTCGCTCGCTCACGCCCCGCGGAACCGGGGGCGGGGGGGGGAGGACGTACAAACTCCACTCGCCAAGGCGACGGACCCAACGCGGGGATCGAACCCAGGCCGTCGCCGCTCTGGGAGCGGCGCGAGCGTTACCGCACCGCCGTCCCACGCGCGCGCGCACCGCGCGTTGCGGTCCCCCCGCTGCCCCCCCCCCCCCCCCCACCCCACCGCCATCGCAACGGGGGCGGCGAGGCTCCTCCCGGCGGTGCGCGCGTGTCCCGACAGGCCCGGCCCGGGACACGTGCCACCCTGGCACGTGTCCCGACAGGCCCGGGACACGTGCCACCCTGGCACCGCACCGCCGCGCTAACCGGCGCTCGTCCCGCGGGGGCCCCGACACGAGGAGTGCCGTCTCGGCGACGGGGCGGCGGACGCGGGCGCCGCTCGCGCGCCTAATCAGCCGCTGGGGCTCTCCCGCAAAGACAAAGCAAATATCCCCTCCCCGTGTGGCCTCAACGGACTGTCGGGGCAAGTGCTGTTAGCGAGCAGCTGCGAATGCCAGCGTGGCGCACGAGGGGGTGGGTGGCCAGCGCCGCGCCCGGCCGCCTTTGTCTCTCTCTGGTGGCGATGTTTACACAGCGCACCGGGGTACTCGTTTATGACTGCATAGGCCTCGGGGAGGCCCAGGACCGTTTCGGATAATCGTCACTGGTGTCGGCCGTGAGCGGGAATCCAACTCGGGGACGCCGGCTTCGTAGCGCGGCGCGCTAACCGCTACGCCGCTGCTCCACGCACACTCACGCACGCGCAACACTCCTCACACTCCTCACACTCCTCACACTCCTCACACTCCTCACACTCCTCACACTCCTCACGCTCTGCAGAACACGGGGGGGGGGGGGGGCGGAACAAACAAACAAACTCCACAAAGAAAGTGGCATCCGAGTCGGGAGCGGCGGAAGCCACCAACCTGCCGTCCTCAGCACGGTTTTGTTCAGTTCATTTCACTCGTACGCTTTTGTTCTTTCGGTAAAATCACGTAGTAGATATAAAATAAAATAAATGAAATCACGACGTTTCGATTGCAACACAAGCTGTGGTTTTCCCACCTGATGATGACTGCTCGTGTTGCAATCGAAACGTCGCGATTTCATTCAATTTATTTTCTATCTACCCACGTGACCTTACCGAAAGAACCAAAGAGGGTGGATCCCTGCGGTCACGAAAACTTCAAATCGAGATTCATTTCACCCGTTGCACGGACGATGGTTTACCAGCTATTTTACGCGGGAGAAAAACGCGCAAAGAGAACACGATTTCCCCATGAATAGCGTCACGACAGGGTGTGGCGAGATACAATGTCCGCACACACACGGCGAGGTGGCGGGACAAGTAACCGAGGGTACGCCGCCGTGTTACCGCATCACTCCGCGTACCGTATCGCTGTACCGCTCAGCTCCAGCAAGTGGTTCTCCGTCGACCGCTGAGAAACCGCGTTGCAACGGTGCGCTCGCTCTGCCTTGTAACGGCACGCGCAATTCCGCGTTGTTGTGTCTAACGTAAGTGACGCGTCGCTCGAAGCGAACGCGGGTCGAGCGACGCGTTACCACCACCGTACAGGGTCCTTAAAGGAGGATTTGCACAACTTAGCGGTCGTAGAAGAGACGGGACGCACGCGAACCCGAGACGGCGTACGGATGCGACTCACAGCACGAGCAGCGAGGTCATGTCGCGGAAGACGTACACGCCGAGGCGGAAGATCTTGTTGTCCGTCAGATTCCTGGGGAAACACAACGAGACGCACGGACAGACACGCCCTTTGTCCACAGGTGACAGCCCACAGAGGCTCGCACACACAGAGCGCTCGGCCATGAAGCAACCACCAATCACCTCGCTGCTGATCTCGTCAAGGAGCATAAACCATCATCACGCGACACTCCGATCATCATCGCAGCGGCGGCGGCGGCTTTTGGCTCAGCCATCGAAGAAAGACCACCGCATCGCGCGGCGCTTTCAGATGCGCATTTGCGGCCGTCTGGAATGCTCTTCCTTTCGGTATTAGGAAGCCACATTTTGTGTTTAGTTTGTTGACCTTCCCCACACTTCTAATTAACACGTTTGGCTATGCACAGTGCGAAATAAGTTCTATATATTCTTGGTTCTTTCGGTAAAGTCACGTAGAAGGGAAACAATAAAATAATAAAAATATAAAACAATTGTTTTATATTTTTATTTTTATTATTATTTTATTGTTTCCCTTCTACGTGACTTTACCGAAAGAACCAAGAATATGAATCCCTGCAGTCACGAAAGCTTTAAATCAAAATGTAAGTTCTATATAAATACATCGCTATTCCTCGCTGTGCTTCTCTATCCACTGGTGGATGAAGATCAATGTGGTGATGTCAAAAACCTGTGTGTTCTCTACTCCACGTGTTCCTCTTTCTCTGTATCTCTCAGTGCAATTCCCAGCGTGAATTTCTCCTCCACGCTCCTGTCACCATCACCATGGTTTATCCACTGCTGGTTGAAGATCAATGTGATGACATTAACCTCTGCGTGCGCGTGTTCTTTAATCCACGTGTTCCCCTCTCTGCCTCTCAGTGCGATGCCCGAGCACACGCCTCTCCGTGCCTCTCTACCGCACCGAGGCCCGGCCTCGTCAAAAACCCGAACTGGAACCCGGGATCCGGGCGGTGCCGGCCCCTCGTCTCCGATCTCCGAGGACGCCTCGCGGCCTCCCCGTGGCGCGGCCCTCGAGCCGGCGGCTCGTCCGCGACGACGCGATGACGACGCGATGGCCGCCGCTCGGCGGGTTCGGTGCGCGTGAGTTTGGGGCCAGGGCTGCCCGGCCGGAAGAACTCACAGCACGGAGAGAGAGGGCGCGACGCGCGACAGGGCGTCCTCCTCCACCTCCTGGATGTTGTTGTGCGACAGGTCCCTGGCAAGACACGACACACACCAAATACAAAGATCGTCTGCATAACCTTAACAAACTTTTGGGGCAGGTGCTGCTAGGAGGGACCACCTATAAAACGCAACCAAAACTATTTTTATTTTACCAGGTAAGGCCCACTGACCACAGGCAGAGATTTCACTCGCCACTTACGTTAGCCGCGAACGTGATTCGAACTCAGATCGCCAGGATCGTAGCGTAGTGCATTAACCATTACACTACCAATCCACACAACGATACACGCAATCATAGTTGCCATTCGCCACTGACGGTAACATCACCACAATGCTTGTACCAGCTTAGGTGCACTTTGAGGCCATCACGTGACATGTGGAAGGCTCGCTGCTGACAGGAGGTCACGGGACAGACCCAGCAGGTGCAATGGGTTAACTGACTGAGATGTCTGGCGGTTGCACCAGCTGTGCTCCCTACTGTGCTAACTTGCTGCATTTTAGCCACCCGGCGCTCCGCTCATTGTTGTGAGCATCGCTCCTCTGCCCTCCGTTGTTGTTGCTGGAGGGCGACTCCCTTCAACAGCCCAGTAGCGTCCTTCACGGGCATCCTCCACGGACGAACACATAGAATCAGACGCACACGAAGCTAAACCGGGCGTGCTTTCGAGACATCCACGCACAATACGGGGATAATCTCCTCTCCCAAGCTGTGCCCCTCTTCCATTACGGCAAGAATAACTCTTCGCTGGTCTCACCACCGCGACCCGAAGCAACGTGGACCTTCTCGTTTCCCGGTAATGGGCTTTGAAATAATCTCCAGCTACGCCCATTTTCCGCGCCCCGTGTTTTTTTAACGCAATTTCGCATTTCAGAGTTATATTTGTTTTCCTCCGTGCATGCGTCTGCGTGCGTTTGCGGTGGCGCAACGGTTTAGCACGCTGCGCTACGGACCCGGCGACCCGAGTTCGAGTCCCGCTCACGGCCACCAACACCGGTGACGATTATCTGAATCGGTCCTGGGCCTCCCCGAGGTCGACTCGGCCTCGAATGAGTACGTGGTGCGGTGTGTAAACATCAGCATTGGGAAGACAAAGGTGGCCCCGGGCGCGGTGTCGGACCACCCACACCTTGGCGTGCCATGCCAGCCTTAATAGGCGCTCGCAAACACGCGCCTTCCCCAACAGTCTGTGAAAAGGTTAGGCACGACGGGTCATTTTCTTTGTGGGGAGTGGTGGCGCAAGTTCACTGTGCCACGAACCCAACGACCTGAGTTCAACTCTCCTGTTGCTCACGGCCAACCACCATCGGTGATGAAAAGCTGTATGGGGGATATCTGTGCGTGTGTGCATGTGGGCGCGCGCGCGCGCGTGTGTGTGTGTGTGAGAGAGAGAGCCCCCTTTTCACGCCCGGCTTGTCAAAGATTACGGCTGAACAAACAGGCCAAGGCTCCAGGAGGTAAAACCAACAGCTGAGAGAGGCTCACTCCACACATAACACACACACACACACGTCTGGTCTGTCTGCGTGTGTGTATGTTGTTACAGAATCATCATCATCATCATCATCCTCCTTCTCCCCCATCAGTTCCCCCGTCCTTGACTAGAAAAAGTCAATGCGATTTCCCTGCAACTCAAAAGAGCGTTGAGGCATTGGTGCTCATCCTTGTGCTTAAAAACCCTCCAGAGCCAGTGGTGGAATGCTCATGGCTCATACGGTGGGGGCAAGATTACCGACTGTGCTCATTACACACAAAGTGCTCATCACAAATGAACCACAATCCCTTGCTCGTCAAGAAGCATAAACCATCAGGCAAAGTCCGGTCATCCTCGCAGTGACAAAGACGGTGGTCACCATATCGCGCGCTGTCAGATGCGCTTCTGCGGCCGTCTGGAACGCTCTTCCCTCCGATATGAGGAAGCCACTGGAGCTGTGCACTTTCAAATCATCTCGATTAAAAACTCATTTCTTCAGAACTGCTTTTTGTGTTTAGTTTGTTGTCCTTCCCCGGCACCTCCGATGAGCACGGATGGCTACGTACTGTGCGAAAGAAGTTCAACATACACACACAACGATAATGTTTCTGCTCTTTCCTTCCGCACTGCTCCAGTTGGGGACTCCGTCGTCTCTTTCCCCCACGTTCTTACATTCACCCTAGAAACAAATCATTTGGCGATGCTGCCGCTGCCGCTGCATTTCCCGTGGTTGCACAAAAGCACAAACAACAACGTCCACAATAACCTAAACACATTCGTCAACAGCACCGTGTGATCTTAAATTAGAAAAATGTTAATAAATACATCAGAGACCTCTGTCAGTGGGGGTGTGGAGTGGTGGCCCGGCGGTTAGCGCACCGACCGCCTGCGTTGCGCGTTCCTGGTGGCGGTGTCGAACCACGAGCACCGTGGGTGGCCTCTGAACCCATCCTGTGGCACCACCTCCACCGCCCGACCTCCCACCCTTCTTCACCACCACCCCCCCACCAACCCGCACCGACCAGGGCGGTGAAGTATGGTCAAACGACCCACCAGTTTGCTCGTTCCCTTCCGACGTGAGTTACGTCAAAAAAGCAGAACTCTCGCCGCACGGAATTTTAATTTTAACTTCGTGGAAAAAAATGTCTGTAGGAGCAGCAGCAGCAGCGGCGGCGGCGGCTCCGCTCGCATTTCTGTGCCGCCGAGATGACGAACGAGCGTTGGGATAAATCACCCGGTCACGGCGCGCGGCTGACGGATATGAAACACGCGGTGCTGGCTGCGCGCCGGAAAATGTACCGAGACTTCTCATCCTCCTCGTCCTCCGTGCGCACGGGCGCCGTGGTGCTGAGCAGCTGGGGGGGGGGGGCGGCGGGGGTTTATCCCCTCGACAGACAAAACAGACATCACACGAATCGACCGTCTTCACGATCCCACCCCCCACCCCCCCCCCCCCGGGTACTCTCCCTGCCTACCTGTCCCCTCTCATCTCACTCTACTCCCCTCCATGCTCTCCCCTACCTCTCCCCTCTCGTCTCCCTCTACTCCCCTCCACGCTCTCCCCTACCTCTACCCTCTCATCTCACTCCACTCCCCTCCACAAACTCCCCTACCTCTCCCCTCTCATCTCATTCCACTCCCCTCCACGCTCTCCCCTACCTCTCCCCTCTCATCTCACTCCACTCCCCTCCATGAACTCTCCTACCTCTCCCTCTCATCTCACTCTACTCCCCTCCCTAAACTCTCCTGACTATCCCCTCTCATCTCACTCTACTCCCCTCCACGCACTCCCCTACCTCTCCCCTCTCATCTCGCTCCACTCCCCTCCACGCACTCTCCTTTCCCTCCCCTCTCATCTCCCTCGACTCCCCTCCGTGTACTCTACTTGCAACAATTTATTATGAATAAAAATGCCATTTGGGTTTACCCGGCAAAGCCTCACCGAGTCTCAGGACTCGTCCGGAAGGAGGTTCCTCCTACATTGGGGTTACTTGGCCAGGAATTTCCGGCTTCTTTCGTGTGTGCGAGGGAACCGAACACCCCGGGCGAAAACCCAGCGACCGCGGGTAGAGAAAGTACAAACTCAACGCAGAAAGGCGCCCCGGTCGGCAATCGAACCCAGGCCCCTTCTGCGCCAAGTGAGGCGTGAGGAGTGTTACCGTCGCGCTGCCACCAACCGCCCTGCCACCGCCACGCAACAAAAGGTTGAGGAGAAGCAGTGCCCTAACAACGCCCCAACTCGCCCGCTCGCTCATCGCGCGCGGCTCTTGGACATTCACGAGGCGGTGAGAAAGCAAGGCACTCCGTGCGCCCGCTCATCAATGGAACTCAAGCGCCCTCGCGCCGCGAGCCCCTGGAAACCGGCAAGTCCGGGCAGCACCCGCGTGTCCACGCAGCGCCAGCGGCGGGCGGGGAGGGCTGCGCAAACGCCGGAGGCGCGGCAGAGCCAGCGGACCCCGCTCGCCACTTCACCTCCACGCTCACAAATTCGCCCGTGTGTGCACAAGCGCCTTATTCACGCTCGCTCAAGTTGCGGAGACCGCTCCCGTTTCCTGCTGCCTGGGCCGAGTGTTGCCGGACGCGCACTTTAAACAAGGCTGGAAGGTTGTGAGAGACCCAACCTCACCCATAGATTCACACAGAGACCCATGGTAGAGACCCACAGACTCACTTAGAGACCCGTAGATTCAGAGCCAAATAGGGACCCATAGTTGGGACCCACAGCCTCATCTATTCGCACAGAGATCTATAGTAGAGACAGATAAACTCATACAGGAACCCATGGTAGCGACTCAATGACTCACAGACTCCAATAAAACCCCACAGTAAAGAACCATAGACTCACACAACTACCCAGAGACCCATGATAGAGACGCATGGAACCAGTCATAGTTCATTTATTTGGTATAGCCCTGTGAGCCATTTGGCTCTTGAATCGGGTGCAACCGCAACATGTCACATAGAGACCCACAGTAAAGGCACATAGACTCGATGACACAGAGACCCACGGGCTCAAGAGTCACACAGAGACCCTTGGTAGATACGCGTAGACTCATAGATTAACATTGGGACCCATATACCCACATCGAGGCCTATAGCAGAAACCCATGCACTCATGAACCCAGCGTAAAGACCCCAGCTCTGGGCTAAACAGCAGCAGCAGCAGGCCGTGTTGACACAGAGAGACACTGGGTGCAGTCATCTCTGCATTCTGTCACAGCTTCTATCACGTGGGGCCGTTGCTAAGCAGGCTCAGGCCTGGCGAGCCTTTAGACGGAGAGGTCACGCACCGACATTCCCAGATATCTCTCCTCCGTCACCACCAGCTACTGGCGAATTCCTCGCGGAACGGAAACCGCGCAGATACCGCAGGAGTGAAGGGGGCAGTGTTCTTTGTTAAATAGCTGTTACCCATTAAATCGCTTACTGTGCTTAACTTTTTTCGGCAGTAAACTATAAAATAAACATTTTTTTATTTTACCAGGTAAGGCCCACTGAGCTACGTACCTCTTTTTCAGAAGAGACCTGGCCACAAACGATAGCTCAACAAAGTGGCTTA